GCCCGCCTTTCCTTTGTACTTATAATAAAAGCATTTGTGAAGAAATTCACACTGCACATGCCATCTGGCATCGCTGGAACGAAATATGAGTGCACCCTAATTAAAATCGTAAAATTTCTGACAATGGGCACCGCCATTCACTCCAACTATCACCCCTGCACCGCTGACCCTCATTCCAAAAGAATGTGCTGGTTGGGCGACATAACAGGTTACCGCTACTGTTTATTCCAAAAACATTGTGCGTCTTTCGGTATTAATTTATCTCTAAACCCAGCATTTTAAATTCTCAGGAACGATCATTGCGGGAAAATTGTGGGCCGGGACTACGATTTTTGAACGATCGATGCGATAAAACGATAGTTCGAGGAACGATAGAAGCGGGAAAATGTAACATTATTTTATATGGGATGTATTCGGGACCGAACAAAACGGACGATGCATCCGGGAAAACGATAGTTCCGGGAACGATAGATAGAGGTTTCACTGTATATATTCTATCTCTCTTCTTTATATGTACTATTGTCTTCCAAGGCATACCAAGATGGGAAACAAGATTAGCTGCAAACATCCATAATTTTTAGACCTAACTTAATGTCTGTTCTTTCTTAAATAACCAGAAAGGATTACAAATATGAATGTTATGACTGAAAAAATATGTGGTCAGTAATGTAACCCAATTCTTAATGTTTGAGTTCAAGGAAGAAAAGTTTTACATTTTTTGCCTTTGATTTTTTAATTTTCAGAAGAAATAGACGTCTTATGTAAATGTGTTACATGTGTACCTAGAAGTAGCACGCTACTTTCCTTATGTGTTTTATATGACTGATTATTTACAGGTGTCATGTTTGATGGCAGCCTTCAGGAAAGGGCACATGAAAGTAGTGAAGTGGATGGTGAACCATGTAACACAGTTTCCAAGTGACCAGGAAATGACTCGGTACATTTCTACTGTCAGTGACAAGGTATGTAATATGATTACTCTTAGTAAATAGGTACCATAAAATTTCATTCATTCTGCATAACACTGAAGCCCACATCTCCCAAAATTCAGGACCTTTCTCGCATTGTTGACTCTGCTGTATTTGTTCGGAATATTATACATAGCAGTCATATTATATGTAGTAAGGAAAGTAGCCAGGACATCAGTTTTGGATTGAGAATTTCATACATTTATAATTCTCTTAATTGCATCGTTTAATCTGGAGAAGACCTTTTGGAAATTGGTGACGTGGAATATAAAGGAGATTATATATACATGACTTATGGAAACAGATTGTAAGGATGGTGGTTAACAAAACTGGCAAAGGATCATGTCTGGTAGTAGCTTTTGGTATTAGCAGTGTTGAACGTTTGTGTTCTATTATTATAGAAATTGTTACTTTCAATGCCAACTTCATTGTAATTAAGAGAATGACTGTTAACAGGTTGGGTTATGTGTGCATCAAGGGCGAATTGAAACCTGGGCATAGCATGGTACTATGTAACCAACTTTTAAGATATGTTAATTGCCCTATATGACACAGCATTTTCAAAAATGAATTTTCATTAGTATGTAAGGTTTGAATGTCAGCCTTTTGCCGTGCTTAATGTAGTAGAACATAGTAAAATGAAATGCCTCTTGTTATAAAATTAACTGTGTAAAAGGCATTTCATTCAAATTAAATGGCTGTAGTTAATATTGTTAACAAAATGGTTTTATTTGAGACTGTTTAAGTGAGTTTTGTGCATTTATTTTGAAATAGAAGTGTTGTAACAAATAGACTATAAATACACCAGTGCAGTATTTTACATTCTGCTAAACTTGCAACTTTCCCTGGCTTTGTACCCAGAATTTTGATATAAAGTTTATAGTCTAGTTTTATGATATTCTGATAACCGTTGTTTACTGTGTTGAATTCTGTTTGTGTGATGACAATTTCTGCCTGTAGGAACTTCTTGAGAAGTGCCAGGACTGCGTGAAAATTATCAGAGCTGCAAAAGATCAACAAGCAGCGAAGGCCAATAAGAATGCTAGTATACTACTAGAGGAATTAGACATGGAGAAGACGCGGGAAGAGTCCAAGAAGGCAGCAGCTGCAAGGAGGCGAGAGAGGAAAAAGAAGAAGAAACTTGAAAAGAAAGAGGAAAAAAGAAAGCTGCATGAGGAGAATAAAAAGAATGAAATCTTGTATCAAGAAAATGAACAGACAAATAAAAAATCCACTGAACATGAAGTTGAAAGACCAGAGGAAAGTGAAAAAGGTAATAAATTACACATTAAAGGAGGTCATGGGCATAGAAGCTGTGTGTGGGAAGCTGCATGTCACTATTAACTGTGTACATAAAAGATTTTTTTAGTGGTTTTTACTAATTTGTATTAGTAAATCTTGTCACTATTGGGAAATTTTGACACTCCATTTTCATTAAACTGTGAAGCATTCTTTTTCTTTGTCCAGTCTAAAATTATTTTAGTTTATTCTTACTGCCAAATTCAATGCTGTTGACTGTACAGTAATTATAAAAAAGTAAAGCTGTCCCACTATACGCCATGTAGGCGCTTTGGGGGGAGGTACAGCTCCTACTCATTCTTGACTTTAGCACTAGATGGGGGTGAGTGGTCATCATCATGCCCCGGCCGCACTTTACCCCCAGGAAAGGACCCCGATACCATTGGATAGGAGGCTGGGTGGGCCCCAGAACCAATCTTGACACAAAGACTAGAGGAAAAATCCTCTGCCCCCATCCGGGATCAAACCGCGGTCGTCCAGTCTATATCCAGTCACTATACTGACTGAGCTACTTGTCAAACTTTCATAAATAGGTATGAGTGCAACTGTGAATATTGTTTTCATCACAGAAAAAGAATGGCCCAAGAAAGCCCAAAATGTTCTTTATAATACTCAATTCCTATCATTTAAACTAGGCCCGAACCAAGCCCAGGCTCTAACATTACCAGTCTCGGGCCTGTGCAGACCTCTATCTTAGGGTTTGTTTTGTTTTTAATAATTTGAGGCAAATGCCTTTAAATAGGTCGCCACCATTACTTTGCAAAATGTGCTCACCATTCATAATTTCCATCTCATCTACATTTGAAAAAGTATTATTATATAACTCAGTAACCAATCCATAGTTCATCTTTGCCTACTTCATTTGTGTAACTTTCCTAATGCTGTGTGTTTGTCTTTTTCTAGAAGTATCTGAAGCTCGCTGTGGGGGTAGTTCTCCTGGTGCTGACTCTCCTGTTCGAAATGGTGAACCAATGGACAAGGAGGAAGGAGATAGTGGGATTGATGCCAACAGTCAAGGTAGTTGTAGCAGTAATGACGTAAAGTCAAAAGAGAAGCGTAAAGACAAGAAAAAGAAGAAGAGTAATGCTGCTGGTGGAGCAGGTTGCAGCAAGAGTGGCGATAAGGAATGCTCTTCTACTGTCTCACCAGGAGTTGACACCGCTGTAAGCCGAACAGTGGTACCAGTGAGCAGCAAGCCCCGTGATGCCCAAGTGCTTGCAGAGACCAAGGACAAGCGAGGTCGGAGCGAGACGGATGTTACTGCCGGCCATACGACCTCACAAGCTTCCAGTGATAATAGCAGTAATGCTGTGGGTGGTGGCAAGCTCAGCAGTCGGGGAACTGTGACAGGAGAGAGGAAGCTAAAAGGCCACCTTGTGTTTGAAGCTTCCAGACCACATCCAGCAGAGAGGGAAGATTTTGAGGCAACTGGTAATGAGACGTACATACCTGCTACAAAAGGAAAGAAGACCTATATGTAAGTTTGTTGGATACATTCAACTTCATCTGATAACCATTACATCCAAAGTAATTTCAATCATTATGATAAGTGAATAGGGTTGCTTTGGCCCATTACTTTGCTGTCATACTTTTCTTCATTAGTATTGCAGTTCAAATTACTTTTCTCTCACTTATTTCCACATTACTCTATATTTTACTCATACCATGCACATGGTTACAGTGGTTTTGCCTTTGACAAATATTCTTTCTTGTTATCTTATGTTGAAGGCCTATGTATAAACCTTAACTTGTGAATAATTTAGTGTGATGTGTTTTACATGTTGCCTGTACTGGGTTTTTTTTCTTTTTCTTTCCCTTTATGAGTTACTGTCAAAAACCCATCTAATTCTTTTTGTCTGGTAACAAACGAGGAGTGACATAGCAGTCCATGTCCATGACTTGTTTGTCTGCACATACATACCCATTTTCATACCTTCATTTTATATTTTGAAATTCACCTGGCTGGAGTAACTGGTCCAGTAAAAATTCTGCTTTTACTTGTTAGACAGGTGGTACGTGCCACATATTTTACTTCACAGGCTTTCTCATTTTAGAGATATTTTGACTTGTTTCATTTTGGTTTCTGTTAATTAGTGAATTAACTATGTGTATAATTAAAGACTCCTATTTTAGTTTGTATACAAACTGGCTGTAACATATAATCAAGGAAATTCAAGAGTCCTAGTAAGAGAATGTGAAAGACTGGTTATGACTGATGATAGTGATAAATCTGATTTCAGTGAGAGTAAGGGTAATTACATTCATAGTAACAGCAGTAGTGATAGTGGACTTGACATTCCTTCAAATGATGAGGTTGAATGTCCTGGCTGAATGATTAGCACTCCCATTTTGTCTGTATCAGGTCTCAGTATAAGTCTCAGGAGACTGGCTATCCACATTGTTTTTCTCAGTTCCACTGCAAAATTGCCAGGATAGTAATAATGAACTTGATGGTCCAGCAGTTGATGATGTGAGATGTCCTGGACAAATGATTCACAACCTTGCTTCTTCTTCTGGAAGTCCCTGTTTCATATATCTGCCCAAAGACAGGCCATCGTGGCTGAGGTCTTTCATGGCTTTTATCAGTCTGCCCAGGCAAGTGCCAGGGTAGTACTGTAAATTAGGTCCTGACTGCTTCCTCTCATATCCTTTCCCATTCATTATTCATTAATCATCCTTTCATTCGATGCTGTATAGTCTGAGCTACTGGCAGCATTTTTAAATAAAATTAAGACATGGTAATGTTCAAGAAGATGGTGATGTTGCCGAATAGAAAACACATTTAGTTGCTAATGATAAGCTACCATATATGAGCTGCAATATGGAGAAATGCGTAGAAATGGGAGTACTTTGCTTTTTGGATACTAATTCAGTTTTTTTAAATGTTCTACATGCGTACCATTTTGTAGGAAATAGTGTGTGATATCAGTATGTATGCTAAGGAGAAATCCAAAAGTATATCCTTACAAAAGACTCAATTTGGAATAGTCTGACATGTGTTCACCCATCTACTTCTGACCAAGAAGAGAGGCAGAGTGGGTGTCACTTCACAAAAAGCGAGCAGGGGATTACCATAGATTCTGCTGTGTGTAGTAACAGAAAAGTGAAAGGTGGGAGAGATTTTTTTTATTGTCTTTTATTTCTTGTACACAAAACTACTATAATTTTCAGAAAAAGTTAATTTGTGATGGCTAAGAAGGTAGAGTATTTGAAAGTTCAGTACATAGGGTCAAGTAAAATTTAAAATCATAGAAATTATAAATGGGACATGCAGTACTTGTTTCTATATAATAAGTATCAGCAGTTACTACTTTGCGCTTTAATGATAAGGTTCTGCATACATTTCCCATTGTGTTAGCTTCTGTGGACTGCTGTGTGCACTGCTGTCTTCTTACAAGTGCTTTTCCTAATGAAGTAAAACAAATGTATATCGTGAACAAGTTGGCTTATTTCCTCCATTCTGTTTATTGTACCAGATAGAATAACGTTTATTTCCCTTTCAACATGCACATTTTATTTTCAGTTTTATTATGTGTTCTTTGCACACACAATGCACAAGTCAAGTATGCATGTTACAGTACCAAAATTGATTGTGACTTCTATCCATTTTCTCGAAATCAAGCCACTGCACAAAAGATGACATGGCATGACACTTTAGATTTTATTCATATCTGTAACTTTTATCAGACACATTTTATAATATTGTGAATATTAAAGCAACACAGGGAGAAGTGAAGTTTCTTTCTTATAATTGTCCATCAGGGAAGCTACCCAAATAAAAGTAATTTGTACTGTAATTTTCTTTGAAACAGTAGATTATTATGTGAAAAATGGCAAAGAATGCATTTTGAAAATATACGTGCAACATTTTAATATGCTGTCCCACTGTCATAGCAAAGTGTTTAATTGTTATGCCTTGCAATGATGATCAATTTATGAATGGATTATGCAGCAATGCAGTATTAATGGTAGAGATTATTAGGAATTAAACGAGATACGAAACAGGACTCCTGTTGCTTATGCCTTGTTCCAGTGGAGTTTTCTTTTTATAGAAATCATTACTGTGAGGGTGATTCAAATTCGGGTTCGTGTGCTGGCAAGAACTCGATGGTGTCTTCGACAAGCCCAAAACAGGGAGGCAAGAGAGAAGAAGGTTGGAAGGAGGTAGTTAGGAAGTAAGTTTTCTTCTTGTATGTTCTGAAACTCCTGAAAGTTGGTTCATCTCGGACTTCTTCTTGGGGCTTTCCAAATTCTTTTACTTCATAATATTTTGTTTTCCTTCCATTACTTTATTAGTACTTTGTAACCCATGCGAACTTTTGGTCTTCCTCTTCCACATCTTTTATTTGCTGTAAAATGAATTAGTTTTGATCGTCTTTAGTCTCCTATTCTTTCATACCACCTCAATATTTTTCATCACTGTTTTATTTTAACTCCACTGTAGATCTATCTCAATTTGTATACAATTTGTCTAGTCAGTTTAAACATCTCAGGTATGTTATTTGCTGCATTTATGTAACCTGACTAGGTGAGTTGGTGTTTGATGGCTAGTAGAATGAAGTATGTGTACTACTTGAACTGTGCCAGTCCTCTGCATGCCTTGACCATATTTTAAATATCTCTATATCTGAGATGGCTGTCATCTGGTGTCTAGCACCATGTAGTCGGATAGAAGTTTGCCAACATATCAGAGATCCATCATCAGAGTGGTTAGTGGCAACGAGGACCTCTGAAACATTAGTAAACTTCGAGCAGGCTACATAGCACTACAACCCACAAGACAGCCATATTTGCATTTCCTGCTGTGAGAACCTTATTTTATCCTATTTCTATAACTGTAAATTATTAAGACATCGTGTCCTTGTGTTTAAGTAAAGATGTTAATATCTGAGACCAGGTTTAGGTGTTTTCACAGCTTATATTTTATCGTAGTCAAATCTGAAAACTAGTTGGAATAGATGTGACCATTTTGAAGAAAGTTCAAGGGTTTTCTTATTTTGGGTAGTAAAATTTTGTCAGTTAGGAAAGTCCAAGGTGAAATTATAGAGATAATCCACAAAGTTGCAAAATTGTACTAGACTATGACTAAACTGAGCCCATGAAGCAGAATTCTGGGGTAGCTAGTAAATAGTAGCTTTAGCTACCCAAGAATTCCCCACCCTGTCCTGAGTCAGATCAGTCGAATCCAGACCCTATTTATGTAAGATCTGTTTTAATATAGCTCTTGCATATGTCTTCCAAGCGGCCTCTTCCCTTCGGGTTTCTCATCCAAAATTTTATATGCTTTTATCATCTCACCTGTGCAAGCTACGTCACCTCACTCATGTGTTCTGTCTTTCGTACCCATCCCATCATCATTGTGCAGTTTTATTCAGTCTCTAGTTACTTCATCCCTCTTAGGTCCAGGTAATCTCCGAAGCATTCTGTTCTCAAACACCCCCAATTTGTGTTCTCTTAATATGAGAAGACCAGTCTTCATGCCTATACAAAAAGTATATAGTATTGTGAATTGTGATGTTTCTTTTTGAATAGCAGGCGGGGAGAGTAAGGATAGTGAACTGTTTGTTTACAGGCATTCCCCCAAATTAATTTTCTCTTAATTTATTCATGAACGTAGTTTTCATTTGCTTCTGTAGTTCCTGAATATTTGAACTTTGCCACATATTCAAGGATTAAGATGTCTTACACTGATGATACACAGACATATACTTTGTTTTCTCTGCATTTACTTCCAGACTGTGCTCCCTGCTAGCATGTTACAGAACCTCTTCATTTCAATTGATGATATCTATGTTTTTACCCACTAAATTAACATATTAGCATAGACCAGAAGCTAGTGTGTCCTATTCAGTTATAATTCCTCTTTGTTTTCTTGGACAATAATGGTATATTCCAAAGCAAAATTGAAAAGTAATGGTAATAAAGCATCTCCTTGTTTAAGAACATTTTGAATATGAAATTTATCAGACAAATGTTTACCTACTCACACCTATCTTATTTGAACTTATTTTAATTAGCCTAACCAGTTTGATTGATGTACCAGATTTAATAATATGTATACAAATGAGCAGTCATGTCTGTTAGTTTTGAACACTTAAAGAGAACCTTCTGAAGATGACCAGTTAAGGTTGAAACATGTACTATATTCTTAATAAACGTTGAAACTCTAACCAGAAATTGTTGTGTAGACAGGGTCAGCCTAACTTATAATGCTTCTTGCCTAAACTGAATCATAAGCCTTTTTGAAATCTAATCAGACATTTTCATAAATTGTTTTGTGTTGTGTTACATAAAGCCTGATACTTGCCTGTTTTGATATGTGGAGCACAAACATGGACATGGACTAAGATGTAAACCAATACCAAGCAGTTGAATTGCAGTTTCTGTGGCATATTAGGACATGAGATAGAAAAGATACAATCCAAAACCAAGATCTTACATAAAATCTAGAAGCAGAATGCTACCAGAAACGTAGATAAAATTAAAAGCACAGTGGTATGGGCATGTGTTTATCACAGATGGATGTGTGATCCCTTTGAGATCATCAAAATTGAAGATAGTGAGGTGACCAAGTGGGGGAAGATACACAGAAGAATCAGCCTGTTTCATATACAGTCGGCACTAATCTTTTGCTTTAGTTTTCATAAAATCCTTAACCCACCAGTTACCTGTTATGCCACTTTACACAGTAAACCCTCTATTTATCGGACTAACGGTGGGAGTGGGCGTAGTGTTCTGTCATCCATTTCTTGATTAGTGAGGGTGTGAAATTCATTGCAATCTGTCACCGCATGCAGTCGTATGGTAACGTGTTTATTGCTGCAGCAGGTGTACAGTGGAGTAGGAAGTATAAGAATCGTGTGTCAAGTGTGACAGATCCTCCTTGATTGAGACAGATCCACAGACTTGTAATGCTGCTGGCAGTTTTTGATTTGTCATCATGGAAAACTCATGTTACGGTGGACAAAGTGGCACCATGTATGTCATCAGACATGGTTCATCTCACCATATCCACAATGTGATGCAGTCCATGAAGCGTCTACATGGTGGGTGCCTAGACAACCGACTCTTGAACTGATGGACAAGTGCGTGGACACCTGCCAGGAACCTTTGCTATGTAATGTCCTTGCTGGAGCAGTGTTAAAGACTTGTTGTGCATATATACTCATAACAGGATTTAATGTTTCATTCTGCCTTTCTTAAAAGGTAAAATTAGTGTATTGATGTGTAATGATATAGGTTATGAAGTTAAAAATGTATTTATAATGTGTTGGGCATTCTAATGATTGGGATAGGTATTTAAATTCCCCATTCAGGTCCAAGAAGGTGTCTGTACCACTGAATGCAATAAGTCGAGTTATTGGTCGTGGAGGAAGCAACATTAATGCAATTCGAGGAGCCACTGGTGCACATATTGAGGTAGAGAAGCAGAGCAAAGGACAAGGAGAAAGAATAATCACAATAAAGTAAGTAGCCAATGACAGATTTGTTAAACTATATTTAAATGTTTTGGCCAAGGTGATGGAATAGCTCATTCAATGCAGTTGTTAAATTGTTTTAAAAATATGAGAGATTTCCAGCTAAAGAAAGTATAACTGTATATATGCATGACCAAGTAAAAGGAAATAATATTTGGCAGTTACAGAAATATTATGTGAATTCTCTAAGACAACTTGTGCATGAAGACTAAACTTCACAATTGCATCAAAGATCTTTAAGAGGGAACTAATGACATGCATTATAACCATCGCAGTGGCTGTACATTCCCAAGGCATGCTTTAAATTTCATTGCCAATGGCATAATTGAATGCAGCTTTGCAAGTGATGTTTATGGTGATCTACAAATGCTTAATAGGGAAGGATTTGTTGTGAACAGACATTTGCATACTTTCTGAAACTACATACTCCAGAGAGATTGTGCTCAAGTAAAGCCATGTCTTAATAATATTCACAGTGAGACAGCAGTTTTGTGCTTCTTTGTCTTGCATTAGGCAGCCACTTCATAGGAAACTGATATTTATGCCTTTCCAGATGTGAAAACTTGTATTTTGTTTGTCTTGAAAGATGTTGGTAGAATCCTAATGTGCCAAGTATCATGGCAAATAAAAGAGGTCTCAATTATTAAATAGGAATGAAAATAAAAATGTCCAAAAGTTACTTATATCTATCTGAGCATTATGATCATAAAATAAGTTTCTCTACATGAAGTGCACGTGTTTCACAGTTACACGGTACCACACACACTCACATGTAATAGACACATGAGCTAAGCATTAAAACATTTGAACACAGTGTACAAGGTCAGTCGCATATGATGTTAAGTTACAGATTACACATTATATTTATACTGCTGTAAATTGGCTGCTGGCTGGTGCAAGTGGGTAGTTACCATGCTGCAAAGTGTATGACTTGGCCCATAGTGAAGCTCATAGATCCACAAACTAATGATCAGTGTTGTATGATCTGAAACTTTCATGGAGACTAAGTATAATGAATTCTTCTCGGGCTGCCAGCCATGTAAGGTGGTATAATGGTATTTTCTCCATTAAATCACCTTACATGGCTGGCAGTTCGAGAAGCATCATTATAATAATTATCAGTGTCATTCAAGACTTGGCTTCTGCATTTATAAAATTTATCTGTGAGACTTGCATGTTCATACTTCTACTCACCTGTGTGTTCCCTTTGTCAGAGGCTCTGCTGATGCAACTCGTCAAGCTCACAACTTGATAGCTGCATTAATAAAAGATCCTGATGTGGACATTCTTCAGATGCTGCCAAAATCAACAAAGTTGGCTGTTGTGTCAGTGTCATCATGGGACAAATCATCAGCAGTGGTCAGTCACACTCGTAGATTTAGAATGGTAGTGCACTCATCCTGGGATTAACTTCTCCCAGCTCACTGCTATAAAGTCTGTGCAGGACTGAACAGGGTATTTCATAAAAATAGAGTAAAATTTACAAGACACACTTCTTTGACCAAGACTTGAAACAAGAAGTGCTGAAAATTAAATATTTGGTTTGATGAAGCTATCTTTTAACATACATACTAATTGCATGCAATGTCATGGCAGACCAAGTAGAACCTTTATCGCAGGTTCAGTTGTCAGGGACTGGTGAGATAGAACCTTCGTGCCTTGAGGGTCATTGAACCTAATCAGAAGCATAAAATTATAAACATTTGTTTTATTTTTGTGAATAAATATAAAATTCAAATTCCTGTTACACTGAGGAATGAAGTTGGTGCATTTTGATAAAGATTCTAATGTGATTTGTGTTTCAGGCATCAAAAGCCAAATCTTCAGTAATCAAGTCGAGTGGTAGTACGAGTGTGCAGGGCTCATCTTTACTTGGAGCTGGTCCCACATCATTGATGGCCAAACCTGTCTCAGCTGGTAAGATTGTGAATTTATGTGGCTCAAAGGTGAATGTTGTGGTGCATACATCATTGATGGTTAGGATTATACGATGAGTTCACCTTTCATTTTAGTTGTTGGAGCACCAGTACCGTTGATTCCTCTTCGCTCAACATCATCAGCCAAACTTGGAGGATCGTTTCCACCTCCAGTAACAAGGGGCACAGCTCCTCGTCTTGTGGCTGCTGGTAAGGAAGTATTTCTTACATTATCAATGATATCTTCCAGATTATTGCTGACATTTACCTGAATAAATGAATGAATGAACAAACTTTTACTGGATTTCCCTTCCTGAAAAAAATGAAGATACCATCCCAAAGGAAGAAGACACTTTTTAGCCATGTCCCTTATTATCCAAAATTAACTTGATTAGAAAACTTTGCCCTGAATGTATTGTTACCAAATGTCATGGTAAGGTGGTTAGGTCTCCTGCTTTGTATTTGAGAGATCCCAGTCTCAAATCTCAGCCCAGAGAGTGGATATCCTGACTGAGGTTTTGTGGTTTTCCTCAGTCCCTCCAGGAAAATGCCAGGATAGAGCTTTAAATTAGGTAATGACTGCTTTCTTCCACATCCTTTACAATTCATTATGCACTATCATTCTCTCATTCAATGCTATATAGTCTGAGTTACCAAAAAGTGTTAAGCAAATTATAAATAAATATATTGTTTTCTTTTAACTTGTAGCAGTTAGAATTTTGCAGCTACAAATAAATATCATGATTTATTAATACCTAGCAATAATTTAAGCTTCTTATGAGATGCAACCAGTACTCAGTACTTCACTGACATAACTACCTCTGCCACAGATTTTTTTAAAACTTCTGCATCTTCATTCATCACAGCACTTGTATGTTATACCTTTATTTGGCAGTTTTACAAGTAGTTATGATCAAAGTTGTGATAACCAATTGTGTAATGTTTGCTTATTACTATTTCCAAGTAGTAGCAGTTATCTTATGATATGGAACGTTAAAGTTATTGCGACAGTTATAATGGTGAAGTGGAAGGGCATTTCTGTTGATGAGTCCATCATTGACATTTCTGCATTAGAAGTAGGTGATACAGACTCAGATTTAGAAATATCTGTTGATATACAAGCTTGACAGTAGGTGGAAGTGAAAACTTCAGTTCTGCCACACAGCACAGAACATTTAAGTAAAGCCCAAGACAAGTCCAGATTATTATGCATCCATTTGTATGCAGATGATTTTCTTGTGTTATAAAATGTTTTGGAAAAATATTTGTAAGGCAAGTGTTTAACCCTAAAAATGATTCTGCATTCTAGTACCTGTAATAGCCAAACTACTACTTGGATTGAACATAATGATTAATTTTGCTTCGGAATAATGGCATGGAAATTAGATCATTGATTAAATCTTTAATGTATATCCTAAAATAAGATGAGGTCTGACAGAAAGTACGTGCTGTGTTTACTTATATTCAAAAAATTGCATTTGGTTAAATGTAATTTGTAACTTAGTGGGCAGCAATTACATATTTTCACATTACTGTATGTAGTATATAAAGATGTTTATTTTTTCAGCCGAGAAACGTGCAGCAGCGCAGATGGCAGCTGCCTCCAACACAAAAACCACAATGTCATACACGACTGCAATCATGACTTCTGGGAAACCAACAAAGATGGTGACAAGTACCACCACCCAGACATTTGCTGCTAAGCTGACAGAAGCTACAGCAACGTTACAGCTTCCGTCTGCCGTTGCTTCAGCGGCTGTTTCTGGGAAATCTCGAACGTCTCACTCCCAGATGTGTACCACACAGTCCTTGTCCACCACGTCTGCACCTTCCCAGGGTTCCTGCCAGCAGCAGGTAACCGTAACAGCAGCAGCGTCCTCTGTACCATCACCCAAACATCACAGGCCTGTGCCTGCTGCATCTGCCCCCCCTTGCATCCCAGGACAGTACCAGATGACTCCTGGCAAGGCACCATTCTCATCTACTGGTCCAATTTGCATGTCAAATCCACCTTCCCAAGTACCGTCGGCCAACGTTCCTGTTGCACCGTCTGTTGTGAATTCCAGTAATCAGGGTAGAAGCAGTACCCCTCTGAATCAGCCATCAGACCAGCATCAACATCAGGCAGTTCCAGTGCCAGTGCCAGTTCAAGCCAGTACCCCACTGGAATACTCTCTGTTCAATGATAGTTTTACTAAGGTAAGAATTAAACTGTAGTTGATAGCTTTTGAGATAGTCAGGAAATTCCCCATTACTCCTGAACCCAAACATTTACCTTGTTCATGGAATTCCATAATTGAACATTATCTTGGCCGTGCTGAGACCAGGGTAACCTTTTGTGTTTTCTATAATATATCTCATGTACATGTTAGTAGGCTTATGCTTACTGTAATTTTTTTGTGGGGGTTCCACTCAGAACTTTGTTGTGTTTCCAAGTTGCCCATATGGGCTACATGTCCCATCCACCTCATCATCCTTCATTTAAATAATTCTCCTTCACTGTTGCTTAAAAATGTCTTCTTACATTTTTCAGCCCCACTCACATCATCGCTAGTCACTTGCCGTTGATTAACAGTGCTATGTTGGTTAGTGTGTGTGTGTGTGTGTGTGTGTGTGTGTGTGTGTGTGTGTGTGTGTGTGTGTGTGTGTGTGTGTGTGTGTGTGTGTGTGTGTGTGTGTGTGTGTGTGTGTGTGTGTGTGTGTGTGTGTGTGTGTGTGTGTGTGTGTGTGTGTGTGTGTAACATGTAAAACCAGCTCTTGCTATGGTTTGTCCAACACTTAGAAAGGCCTTAGGGCTCCAGCATTGCAGCTTGAATTAATGGAGGTCTCCAAGGTACATTACAAACTACATGGTTAAGAACATTAACAATATGTAATCACATTCTTAAAGTGCCCTCTCCAATCTTATTGTTGAACTGACCTGATAGATCTGCTCTTACATAAAATAGTGGGAATATGTATGTTATCTGTACACATCCTCTGTAATGTTTTAACAAAACTTGAATTAGGCATTTTTAGCACACATTTTACATCATTATGACAGTATAGAAAATTTGCTGTTCACTGCGTGGGAAGACGGCAACAATGAGAAGTTGTTGAGTAAGGCATTGCTAATCTACAGAGAGGGCTATATTGTTGTTGAAGTAGAATGAAAGAACTGCTGTCCAAATTAATAAATTAAATTAGTCCTTTGAAAGTTTAAAGCACCAGGAATGAAATTGCATAAGAGCGAACTCGCATATGCAAAAGTTTGCACTTCACAAACGGGTTTTACCGATTCATCGATCTCATTGGAGAAAATTCGCGTTAACGAAACATACGTAATTGCAGAGATGACTGTATTTATAATTTTTTTTATTCAAAATCAGCGATGTAAGAAATACGATTTAGTATAAGAAGCAGTACGAGAAACATTGTAAAACGTTATGAATAATAGTAAATTTTTTTTTTTTCACTTTTTGACTTGCTGGTTTCAAAATCGGCGTTATTCTGAATCGGCACAAATCGAGGGTTACCTGTATTTGGTATGACACAGAATGCAAACGAACGATAACTACAGAGGGAAATTGAATGCAACATGGTTTTGCAATACCAGTGCATGACATCCTCCTACATCTCAAGGAGTGAACTGTGTTGTTCCTGAGTGGTGTAGTGAACACATCTGTAAAGCTCAGTTATGTCCATCAGTCTGTAACCAACAAAGCCCTCACAGCCATGACACGTCTTTAACAAAATGTTGCTATGACTAGCTGTCTGGCAGTGAGCTTGTGTTCCTCACTCTTCCACTTTGAAAGGAACACATATCTTGCTACGGTACAATATGGCAGCACTTCTTATCCACAGCCTTCTTGCAAACCTTTGTGTTACTGGTGAGCATTTTGTCCTGGGCCAACCTGAATTTTGATGGAAGCAAAGCTGCTCTTACTTAACATGTTTTAGGACAGTTTCATGGGACACCTAGGGTTTCACACCACCTCATGACAATTTTAACAATGGCCATACATTTGTGAAAACAAGCTGAATTGATTTTCTCACTCAAATCGATTTTCGAATGGCCCTCGTACATCATTCAAGACCTTTGTCTGCATGGTACAAACTCGCATCCTTGCCTTTTTCCTTCTCTTTAGGGAAGTAAACAACAGTTTGTCGTTTGCCAGCTTCAGATGCCAACACACCCTTTTCCACTTCACATGGTACTGCAGTAGTCATAATTAACACACACTATCACAAGACAGTTACTTTTATATTATCATTGGCAGAGCCACCTACTGTCAGACACTGGCTCATACAGATAATATTTTTATTGTAAAGGACATATAGCATCCTCCAATCTTATTCTTGGTCTTAAGTGACTTCTTACACAGTTTCTCCATCAACAATATGTGTATATATCTTGTTATGTGAGCTGTTTAAATTACTTATGCAATATTCTTCATTTCCCGCTGACATCAGCCTCCTGAAGTCCAGATACTTGTGTAAGCACCTTTGCCATGCGATTACAGTAAAATAATAAAGTACTCCTTTCCAGAGAAGTGTGATTATCCCCTCAGATTGCACAAATTGAAGGCATATGTGGTTTGAGTTTTAATCGTAATTTATGAAAAAATATCAGGAATTTGACCACATTGCAGTAGCACAATAATTCACATCACAAGTAATAGCACCTGGTCAAGAATTGCCTTTGTTTTATAAATCCTGAAGGCTCATCATGGTTACAAAAGCCTGTCACTGGACAGGTTTTCCAAGAGCTTTACTTGTCACTTACTCACTTTGCATGTTTGGTTTTGAATGAAAGAAGAGGCACTGGTTTTGCTGTTACATTAGCATTATCCCATATGTTAACGAACCAGTTGAGATGAGATCATGCTTTCCTTGAGAGAATAATGACTGGTAGTGTTGAGAGTTTCTGTGGTTCATGTTGTAATTGATTCATTTTCTTCAGGTTACGCAGCAATCAATGTGGGGTCGAGACAATGAAAACTCTCAGAAAGGGATGAATTTTGCAAGTGTAGCTGCTACAGGAGCAGTAGCTGGTAATGGAGCTGGGGTCACAGGAGGAAAATTCATTGATAGCGTTCCACCACAGGTAGGGAAAACGTTAACTCTTTGATACTGTGAATTCATGAATCATTGAAATCCAAAATGCTGTATGCATGGCTCTTTTTCAGGTGGATGCAGCCAAGGCTCCAGGTTACCGTGGCACTATTGTTTGTTCTCCTGTATCTTCTAAAACAAGTAGCAACAGCACCACTCCTCCTTCTTTACCATTGGCTCCAGGATCATCATTTCAAGCTGCCAGTGTCTTCTCAACAGAGCAGTGTGTGCCTCACTCATCAGGCCCTGTGATGACCATGGCTGCTAAGCAACCACCTGTACAAGCAACCCATGGTGTCCTTGCAGTTGCACGTCCAGGCTCAAGCAGCAACATGCTCGACATGCATCCTAACTCAGGAAATTCAGGATCAAATCTCAATGTTGGAATTGTTGGCCAGCAGCCACCTTCTCATATGGACGGCGGTCCCTTAGCGCCGCCCCCGTTCGGAAATCGAGCCATCTTTCAGAGTGGAGAGCTTCCGCCTCAAACAGTTTCCGGCCAGCAGCACGGCATCATTGTGTCTTCATCACAGTCCACACTAGATCACAGTGCCCTTTATACCCCTGTGTCTGCGCCAGGGTATGGACCAGATCCTCAGAGTCATAATGCAGCTTTGCTCAAGATGGTACAAGGAGGTGACAGTCAGTCAGTCCCACAACAACAGCAACCTCAACAACAGCCACAGCAACAACAACATCCAATGTTAAGTTCCTACCATCACCAGCATTCACATCACCATCCTATGAGCTATTCCCAGACAAAGCCTAACTTGGGTGTTTCCTCGTCCCAAGTAAACACCAACACAACAGTGAGCATGTCTCGTCTGAATCCAAGTGCACCTGACTTTTCCCTCCACCTTGCCAACAAACCTCAGCAGCAGCAGCAGCAACAACCTCCACCACAACCACCACCCCAGCAACAACAACAACAACCACCACCACCACCACAGCAGCAGCAGCCGCCACCACCACCACCCCCACAACAAGGGGGCAATATATTTAGTGCCACCACAACATTCCATCAGAGAGCGAGCATGTTGCCTCCTTCATCGCTGCAGACTTCAGCATCTGCCCTAGGCACTATGTTACCCAATATCTCATTCCCAATAGGGAAATCCTCTCTTGGCCCATACCACCACCAGCCACTGCCGGCCCCAGGCCCAGGCCCTGCTGCTAACGGCCAGAGGTGGCCATTGTTCCAGCCCCCATACCATCATCCACATCATCCTCCTGATGTTATGGGTCAGATGAGTTTTTCCGGTAACATGGCACACTTGGCGTCTCTTGCTGCAAGCTTAGCACACCCTGGAAACAGTGGTGCTGCAGCAGATATATTGGCAGGCTTAGAGAATGGAGCTATGGTAGGAGGAGGGAATTCTCCTGCGATGTCTCCGTCATCTCCTGCCAGTGTAAATCCTGGCCCTGCAGGTGAGCCCAACCACCACAAACTGGAAGATCGCAAGATTCCACCACGACCGATAGGCACCGAACGTGCCAGTTGGAAGAATAATTATGGAAACATGAGTGGAGTGGGAGCTGGTGGGGACTTGGACCCCAACTGGATGCTTGGTGGAGGTGATCCAAAGATGCCTGTCTCGTCATGGGTGGGTGCTGGGATGAGCCATAATATGGAAAGGCACCAGATATATAGGGCCAATGCCCCACACTACGGGCGATTGCCACCAGCAGATGAACTGCCCCACATTATGGATGCAAACTTCCAGGTATATACTAGTTGGATCTACTGCAGCATGACGATTTAGTGCTCATGTGTCTGAACTGTGCTTTTGTCACTAGCATGTAAGCAGTTCCTATTATCAGGTTGCACTTTGTGTCACTTGTTGGTGAACTAATGCATGAAGATAAAGTGTATTGGCTTAATACATTCAGACCTGGTTGTCAGTTGTTGCAGTTCAAGAAGCTTATATTTTTGCAACAAATATTGTTAACATTTACATGTATATCTTGGAAATTATAATGTTAATTTGTGGGAAGCATTAAAAGACTGTGATGGGGACTACAGCATTCTTTTATAAGAACTTGTAGACCTTTAAATATTAAATTTTTTAACATTGCCATCTGACTTGACGCAAACAGCAAGATCAAATATTAATCCATGATCATGTGGGAAGTTTAGTCATTTAATAAAAGAAAAGTCATGTCATAGGTCTGAATGTATTAAAACTTGTGATATAATCATTTCTCCAGCTTATTTGGTTTGTGTGGTTTTGGCTGTAGCTTCTTAATACTGTTTGTTATACATGTTAATGTCTCATTTTTTTTTTTAATCAATTCATATCCAGGAGTAGTGTCACAGCTTATAAGTGAACAAACACAATTCTGTACCGTTACTTCGAAATTATGATAATTTATTGACTCTGTCTGGGTGATGGTTTTCCCACTAGCCCTTAAATGTAACTGTACATTAATATTTGAAGATGATGCAGTTTCTAGATAAAGTAACTTTAATTCCATTCTAAAGAATTTCATATCAACCCAAGACATTGTAGTCTGTACTAGTTAATAGCAGTTCACTAAGAAATGAATCAGATTCTGTGAAAGTGATGACTGTGAAATCATATTTTAGCACTTTACATCCTGATTGGCTGAAAGGATTCTTGTGATCTGCCATCATTCTGTTAATATTTGTGAAATCTGTTGTAGGAATGAATAAATATTTCTGTAACTATGCATGATATGTTGAACTGTCATTGCCTCTTGGAAAATGCACTCTCTTTTGACACTGAATATGTTTGCTCTTTAAAAAACAGTGGTAACTATATGTCCCACATGCTTCAACAATGAATAAATAACTCTTCATTTTGTATGATTTTTACTGTAAACAGCATTAACCAGTTGATTTTTGTGTTAGTGAAGTGTGGTGTTTTCTTTGTGGTATGGACTAAATTCTTAAATATCATGCAGAAGAGCTTCAGCTTCAAAGGACTAAAAGATACAACTGGTATTCTCCCTTGTACTTCTTGAAAATGTTTCTAAGTTTGCTTCTTAGGGTAAAATATGCTGGGTGGTAAAAAAATATATAAATTTCTTAAAAGAATGTTAAAAATTGTTATTTTTACTTTTATATTATCCCTTTAAAACATAGTGGTAACTATATGTACCACCTGATATAGTAAACAGTAACTCTGAATTTTGCTTACTTTATGTATTTATGGGTTTCATATGATTCTCAGAACAAACTGATTATTTCCTTCAACAATGTATACCACTCTGTCTTTGTAATGGAAAAAAGTTGTATTATCTTTCTTACAATGCCACTAGTGTAATGACTAACAGAAATGGTGCCTTCTGCTTCAACATCTGTAGCTTCATCCAGTACCAGAACATTCAAAATGGAAAATATTTTTCTGTGTAGTAAATCATCTCAACTGAATACATCTTTTTCTTTACGTACTTCGGTATATTTACAGCAGCATACACTTTTTTCTTCACAGTCATGTCAAGAACAATCAAATTGTAGCAGCTGCTTGCTTCTTTTGGTGTCAGACAGCTGAATCATGAAGTTAGCCCCTTTTGTTCATGTAACGAATGCATGGAGCTTTATCCTTGTGCCCTAATAACTCCTTAATGTCTTGGAGCATAAATATAGGGTTAACTTTTCATTCTTTCTGTATCAGTAAAGTTCACTTCATTCTTAAATATGTTGTGATCTTGTTCATTGTCATTGCAGCCTGGACATTCTGAGAACCAGCATTCATTCCACAATGGAGGAAGTGTGGCTGCCCTGTCCCTGATGCACCATGGTCTGCCATTGTTACCACATTACAGTACTGGAGCAAATCTAGGGACAGACATGACAGCTGCAGATGGAATTAAAATGGAAGCACCAAGCTGGGAAGGAAGTCGTCTAGGCATAGCAGATATACAAGAGAAGCAACAGGTAGGGTTTGAGGAAATTTGTCCATGGAAGTCCTTGTAATATAGGGCTAATTTAATTCATGTTGAATATTTTGTGGTTTTTCTCAGGCTTGTGAGAGAGACCCATATACATAATTATCAAGGATTGTTATTAATACTTTATGCCTCCATAGTCTATGCATATGAGTATAACATTGAAGTGTTAACAATTTTCTTTTCAGGGCTGGAACACGAAGTGGAGTCACTAAATCTCGGTGGAATTAGCAGAAGAATTGTGCAGATGTGGAGATAGTAAAGACGTAACTCTTCTGAGTATCTACTTTTTTTTTTTAATGAAATATGTCCATCTGTAGCTAAGAAATATGCTTTGGTCTTTTCATCTAGTGTTTGGGATACAAAACTTTGGTAGCTGTGTTAGAATTTCCTTCTGGTAAACCTTCCTGCAGTCTATAGAGTTTATTTGGTTTATAAGTACAGTCACTGTTCTTCATTTCTCCCAACTCTGATTTTTCTGCTGTTTGATGGCTGAGCCACAATATACTTGAAATGCATAATATTGTAAAGCAAGTCTGCTTGTTCCTGGTCATTGAGCTTGTGTTGTGAATGTCGCCTTGGCTGACTCGACAATGAATCCTCTCCCTTGTTAATGATAGATGACATGGGTGTTCCAGTGGCATGGCCGGTACATCTCCAGTGTGGCGATGATTTAGCGCCAAGACATGTCAAAAATGTAGAAGTTAGTATTTACATGATTCGGTGTACATAACTATTTTGGAACCAGGAAATATTGTAGCTCCTCCTTCGAAAGTAAGTTCTTTGCATGTTTCATCCTTGGTTTGATAATTGCTTTGTAGTTTACAAAATAAATGATTGTAAAAATTTGATTGCAGTGACAGTATATATTTTTTTGTAGTCATGTGTTTTGACTTTGTTTTTCTGTTAGTGAGGGAATTGTCATCAGTCTTCAGTTTTCTGAGATGATCCAATATAAAGTACAGTCACAGTCTTAGCTTGGACAGAAGTGATCTATTATATAGTAGTTTTGCTGCGTGTAGGTTTGGCTGATCTTGAAGCCAGGGTTATGGCGGGATTTGTTCAAGTGTTCATAACTTATAGTGATTTGGGACACTTTATGTTTTCCATACATATTTTGAATTGATTATATTATTACATGTAAGTACCAGAGAGAAGACAAAACAGAGATGGTAGACAGGAAAGAGAGAGGAGTTTACTAACATTTCTTGCCTTTGTGTTTTGTTAATCTCATTTTAATGGGTGCATTTTGCCCCCATTTTGCTAGGAAGATGATGTATCTTCTATGGGCTGAGAGGCATGATATGGTCCTTCAAAGTTATTGCCTTATCTGCACAAGTAGCACTTGGAGGGACATTCAGTAAAGGAATCTGTAATATTGCTTGTACATGAAGACTTAAAATATATCTTTATGCACTGTGAGTGTTGTGTTGTATCATAGCCAGTATAGTATGTCAATTTGCATTTTATTTTTGGGTAATAAAGACATGTTATTTTAGGCTGGTATCCCAAAGTTTCAGAGAAATTATGGATATCCTATGTCAGTGTTCTGATGTGACAAGAGGGAGATGGCCCTTCAGTTTTTCTTGAAAAGTAAACCAAGAAATCTGAGTTAGATTATAAAATTTATCCTCCTTTTACTGTGTGTTAGTGTCTCATTTTCAGTAATGGATTTTAGATTCTAATGTGTTTTTATGAGGATAGGTGTCAGTATGCCATACTGGTTCAAACTGCCAAAACTAAATCTCTGTACCTTTTTAAAAATAATAGGTTTTGCTCCTAGTCTCTTGGTTCCCCTTATTGCAGACTTTTTTCGTGGCTTTGATAGAGGCCTTGTTTCAAAATGTGATGCATTGGTCTGTACATTTACCAGTCTGAACATAAAACTTTTCCACCACTCATGGTACATTGTTAGGTCTGCTGTTCATCATTTTGCCCTGAGATGGAGGTAGCCAATTTCGCTGAACATTGACAGTCCAGCTTAACACAACATGGAGTTATAACTCAAGAATGGAAATGTGAATCTTGAGAAAACCACTTTGCAAGACTGAAGAATGTTCCATCATGAACTTAAAGAGTAATATGTTTTGTTTCCAGCATAATTTCCCTTCTTTTACTCCCAGTAGTTTTGTTTTTCAGTCATGAATAGGAAAGGGGAACAAAAATTGCAGGGGGAATTTACAATAATTTGTGTGAAAAAATGATTTCTTGTTTATTGTCCATGCTTCCATTTTTCCAAAAAAGATGGCGGAAATTGTAAATTAAAGTTTCCACTAGTATGGATTCTCACTTCCTGAAAGTTATCAGATATTCCAAGTTCTACACAGTTCATAAACACGGGATAACTCATTAAGTCACTTCACCTAGATTTTATCCACCAAGTTAACAAAAGAATTATTTAATCACTTTATATGAGCAATCCAAAACACCTACATTGAAAACAAAATAGTTTTTGATGGTTATCATGGTTTACAAGAAGTTTTCAAACTTTTTTCACCATGTTCAGTACTGTCTGAAAACTGTCTTGGTAAGCTTACGAGCCACCTGTATTTCCCCATAGCATGTTTCACCATAAAAGTCACTGTTCATACATTTGTCTGACTTGCCACTTTCAAATGGAAAGCTCATTATAAATATCACTTTGCCACCAAATTTTACTTTGTATGAAATAGGAACACCATATTAGTAATAGCTGATTCACTGATAAATTGTAGAGAAGTCATCTTGAAATTGTTAAATCCCTACCTATTGATTCTAATGTGACAGTGTATAAGGTCATCAGCAATATAATGTAGGATCCTGAAAATTTGTATGACAATAGATCTTTACGAAAATACAAAACGTTACGTATCTAAAATTTGATATGGTTAAGTGCTAGCATGGACCTTGGAGTTTGTGTTTAGAACGAATAAAAACCACCATTTACTTTGGCTCAGGACATGTCTGTCAGCAAAGTGACTAACCCTGATCTGAACAACCAGTATTTCATAATGGCGGGGCAGTTCTGTACCACATCAAGACTGGCCACAGGGTCCTTCCAACGTCTCTTTCCCCAGGAAACCGGTGGCCAGAGAGAAGCCTGCCATGCATTTCCAGCCTGTATTATGTCAGGTCCACATTATGTCTTGAAACAGCATACATTCACCTTGAACATACTGGGTTGGTTTTAAGTGGCTGCAGGGTTTGCCAAAACTATGTTATTAAATTATACAAAAGGAAAGAAACATCTGGATTTGGTCCACTTCTTTGTTTCCCTACCAGAATGCTGCGTGTAGGTTTGGCTGATCTTGAAGCCAGGGTTATGGCGGGATTTGTTCAAGTGTTCATAACTTATAGTGATTTGGGACACTTTATGTTTTCCATACATATTTTGAATTGATTATATTATTACATGTAAGTACCAGAGAGAAGACAAAACAGAGATGGTAGACAGGAAAGAGAGAGGAGTTTACTAACATTTCTTGCCTTTGTGTTTTGTTAATCTCATTTTAATGGGTGCATTTTGCCCCCATTTTGCTAGGAAGATGATGTATCTTCTATGGGCTGAGAGGCATGATATGGTCCTTCAAAGTTATTGCCTTATCTGCACAAGTAGCACTTGGAGGGACATTCAGTAAAGGAATCTGTAATATTGCTTGTACATGAAGACTTAAAATATATCTTTATGCACTGTGAGTGTTGTGTTGTATCATAGCCAGTATAGTATGTCAATTTGCATTTTATTTTTGGGTAATAAAGACATGTTATTTTAGGCTGGTATCCCAAAGTTTCAGAGAAATTATGGATATCCTATGTCAGTGTTCTGATGTGACAAGAGGGAGATGGCCCTTCAGTTTTTCTTGAAAAGTAAACCAAGAAATCTGAGTTAGATTATAAAATTTATCCTCCTTTTACTGTGTGTTAGTGTCTCATTTTCAGTAATGGATTTTAGATTCTAATGTGTTTTTATGAGGATAGGTGTCAGTATGCCATACTGGTTCAAACTGCCAAAACTAAATCTCTGTACCTTTTTAAAAATAATAGGTTTTGCTCCTAGTCTCTTGGTTCCCCTTATTGCAGACTTTTTTCGTGGCTTTGATAGAGGCCTTGTTTCAAAATGTGATGCATTGGTCTGTACATTTACCAGTCTGAACATAAAACTTTTCCACCGCTCATGGTACATTGTTAGGTCTGCTGTTCATCATTTTGCCCTGAGATGGAGGTAGCCAATTTCGCTGAACATTGACAGTCCAGCTTAACACAACATGGAGTTATAACTCAAGAATGGAAATGTGAATCTTGAGAAAACCACTTTGCAAGACTGAAGAATGTTCCATCATGAACTTAAAGAGTAATATGTTTTGTTTCCAGCATAATTTCCCTTCTTTTACTCCCAGTAGTTTTGTTTTTCAGTCATGAATAGGAAAGGGGAACAAAAATTGCAGGGGGAATTTACAATAATTTGTGTGAAAAAATGATTTCTTGTTTATTGTCCATGCTTCCATTTTTCCAAAAAAGATGGTGGAAATTGTAAATTAAAGTTTCCACTAGTATGGATTCTCACTTCCTGAAAGTTATCAGATATTCCAAGTTCTACACAGTTCATAAACACGGGATAACTCATTAAGTCACTTCACCTAGATTTTATCCACCAAGTTAACAAAAGAATTATTTAATCACTTTATATGAGCAATCCAAAACACCTACATTGAAAACAAAATAGTTTTTGATGGTTATCATGGTTTACAAGAAGTTTTCAAACTTTTTTCACCATGTTCAGTACTGTCTGAAAACTGTCTTGGTAAGCTTACGAGCCACCTGTATTTCCCCATAGCATGTTTCACCATAAAAGTCACTGTTCATACATTTGTCTGACTTGCCACTTTCAAATGGAAAGCTCATTATAAATATCACTTTGCCACCAAATTTTACTTTGTATGAAATAGGAACACCATATTAGTAATAGCTGATTCACTGATAAATTGTAGAGAAGTCATCTTGAAATTGTTAAATCCCTACCTATTGATTCTAATGTGACAGTGTATAAGGTCATCAGCAATATAATGTAGGATCCTGAAAATTTGTATGACAATAGATCTTTACGAAAATACAAAACGTTACGTATCTAAAATTTGATATGGTTAAGTGCTAGCATGGACCTTGGAGTTTGTGTTTAGAACGAATAAAAACCACCATTTACTTTGGCTCAGGACATGTCTGTCAGCAAAGTGACTAACCCTGATCTGAACAACCAGTATTTCATAATGGCGGGGCAGTTCTGTACCACATCAAGACTGGCCACAGGGTCCTTCCAACGTCTCTTTCCCCAGGAAACCGGTGGCCAGAGAGAAGCCTGCCATGCATTTCCAGCCTGTATTATGTCAGGTCCACATTATGTCTTGAAACAGCATACATTCACCTTGAACATACTGGGTTGGTTTTAAGTGGCTGCAGGGTTTGCCAAAACTATGTTATTAAATTATACAAAAGGAAAGAAACATCTGGATTTGGTCCACTTCTTTGTTTCCCTACCAGAATGAAAGCAACATAACTGTGTCCATGGAGACTGAAATTTCAAAGCCAGTTGAGTCATTTCTTAGATTTGAGAATCTTTTCATGTGCCTGGCTCAGGTGACCCCACCGTCTCAAACGGTGTGGGATACCACACAGAACTACTTTTATTAAACTCTGCCCTTTAATATTTCCTGTAAAATTTTGATTATATCCAGGAACTACAATACAGGCCAGCCACAAAGTATTTGTTCAGACACTTGAAACTGTCTTGGTTATACTTTCTAACAGTATTTCCTAACATAGCACTGATGATACATGACAGCTAGTGACTATGAAGAAATCACAAGATTGATTCTGATACAACAGGAATGGAACAGCAATGTTTCCCATTTTCATTTATGTGTACATGTCAATCTCTGAGATTTTCATGCGCTCATGAAGGTGAACTTGTACACTGACAATTATGTTCTTGTGCGTTCGTTGTATGATGATTCAACCTAAGAACTGCTAGACCAATTATAATGAAATTTGGTATGGATGTTTTGCCATTTGGGACTACCCTAAAATCGTACATTTCAAATTTATACAATAGGTGGAAGAACAGACTTTCGAAGTGGAATTGACAGTAGGGCCATACAGTGATGTATGGTTATAGTGTTCAAGAAAATACAAAACTTCACTAATTCCTCATATAATAAAAATAACATGGCAGCTGCATAAAAGAAAAAATTGTTTTCACCAGGATTTGATCCTATGACCCTGTGCACAAGTCTCCTATATTACCACAGAGCTTAACTGGCTTATGATGTGTCATTATTGATTTACAATACACGAAGAAGATTTTAAGACATGATTTGTATACTTTGAAACTAGATGTCTGAGGATAATGATCGACAGTCTTTTATTAATACGAATAATTCATATTTGCAAAGAATTCATGTGTGTATCCTGGTACAGAACATGCCTTTCCAGTCATCTTTCACTTGGATAAAGTTACTTAACTGTTCTGCATGAATGAATTTCACTGCAACATATTTACTTCATGCAGAAGGACCCATATTTGCATCTGACATCAGTTCTTGGATTAAATATACATCAAGGAGGAGAAGAAGATAAAACTTTTGTTACTTATTGTTTTATTTATTGTAAAATACACTATTAGATTGCACTGAGAAAATCCAATCCTATCTAGAACATTACAATGTTATTAAACTGCAGTTTTAACATCCAGTGAGCATATTGAGGCCTGAAGTATGTCGTGTTGTATGATTGTATTCTTATTATGGGAGAGAATCCAGAAATTTTGATGGGTATATATTATACGAATGTAATTTCCATAATTTAATTTTTTTAAATTACTGAAAGGTACTTTGTAAAAGTTTATATACATCTAAGTCTCTCAAGTGGTTTCCTTCAATAACGTTCTATTTTCTCCACTGTGGATGCTAATGGGTTGCACTACCATGACTTGACTGCCACAGCCATAGTTGTAGAACTCGGTGCAGTGCATGAATATAAGGTTGGTACAAGAGGCTTTAAGAGATCCATCAAGCTGACATTTCACCCCTAGTCTTCCTTTTACTGGATCATTTTCTGACACATGGAAAATCTATATAAAGTTTAGGTCCAGCTGACAGCCACAAATGTGGGGTTTTAAATTGGCTACTCCCATACAATAAGGGTTAATGGAATAACGGAATATTTGAAAATGGCACATTAGGAGAATATATGGACTAAAGAGATGAAGAACAGGAGATTGTAGAACACCACACAATGAAGAGCTTCATAATTTTTACTCCACCAGATATTAGGATAATCAGAAAAGGATTTGTACAAAGAGGATCTTCCCATCTGTCTGGAGGAATTCATAAGGTTTTCTTTTGTGCCTCTGATAATGCATTTTTCTTGGGACCACATTGATCTTCCCGAAAGTCAAATAAATGAAACAAATTAAACTGAAACATAGAGTATCAACCTGAAGCCTCAATCATCTGTGCTTCACAAAACTTAAATTCTACCTCTTTATGAAGAAAAAACTCAGTGAAACTGGTCAGTGTGTAGTGCAGCTTTATATGAACAGCATGTATCTTGGACAATTTACACTTCCTCATCCAATGAAAAAATCTGATATACTGTCCTTTCTGCTAAGAAAAACCTGGTAACATACATTGACATCAATAACTGCATAGTAAAAAAGTTAGCCATAAAGAAATACTACAGAATGCAGTGTATCTTGTAATTAGACAAGTTTATTCAGATTGCTATGCATGTTATTCGAGCAATGAGCTGCCTTTCAAAATAATGGACAGGTAGTATATACAAAATATATAAAATAAAATATAGTGGAACAGTTCATCAGAAAAATGGCATTAAAGCCTTTAATCCTAAAGTTAAACAAATTTATGTTTCACAGTTCTATGTGCTTTTGCATTATTCTTGTCTCAAGGTTCAGATGAAGCTTTTCAACTTTTCTGGCCTGCTTTTTTATGGTTTCCTCCATCAGCAGAACTCCTTCACTCTTCTCCCCTGCCAGTTTCTCCTTATTTACACGTCTATCAGATCCCAAAGCTGCCTCTGCCTGCAGGTGGCGTAATTTTAGCAACCGGTTTTCATAGTGCATCAGCTCCACCTAGAAAATGTTCCCTTACTTTGCACACTGTCGTGTCAGACAAGCATATTCTTCTATGACAATATTCTATTACTAAAATAGCTGAAATAAACCATACTGCTGCCAGATGTTAGTGTTTCATTACATAAAAATCATATGTTTGCAAGAGAGACCTCCATGCCCAAGATAAAAGTCTTGAAGATCAAATGCATTGCATTTCTTGTTATATAATCTGCACTAACTACTCACTACAAACTGATACTTTCCTTGAATGTCATTCATGATGTGAAAATCTGATAAGCAGAAACTAATTTTTACTTTCCTTGAATGTCATTCATGATGTAAAAATCTGATGAGCAGAAACTAATTTCTCATTAATTTCAATTACATAATTAGAAATTTGATTAGCTGAGGTAACACATAAATAATAGTAACAGAACGTAAACTTACAGTACACAGCAGAAATTGCTGTTTTAAAAAGTGTCGGAAAGTTCTAGGTTTAACGAAATTAAGACCAACGAACCAAAAAGCTAAGGGTGGAGTCCTGCACAAGTGCAAGACGACATCCCTTGCAAGATGACACCATTCCTGAGTACAAAACGCATTGCTGTAAATGGTAAACCGTGCTTTAATACTAAAATGGGTGTGTGCTTATGCTAACAGGAATTTTGTAATGGTGGCTACTGATGGGAGGTTATCCCATCAGGCAGCATGTCCTTTGCAAAAAGGATTTTGGTAGGATAAAATTAATAATTCAATATAGGAGGAACTAAATATTTATTTAGCAAATGTAAGACTGGGAAACGACAGAAGATACGTTAACAGAGTGGATTATAACATCCTGATTTTCAGCATAAATCCAAAGGACTTCGAGGCACCAGTTGTAAAGCTTTCAAAAAGTAGCTAACACGTTAGAACAGATATGCACGAGCCTTGGTGTTTAGTGGAGAGAGAATAGTTTTGATATCATGATACTACACAGAGGTGACTTCTTTTCTGATGCCTGCAGTTATGGTCTGACATGACAAGTGTTGATAGGGACTGCTGTAGTTCTATACAAGGCTTACCCTCAGTGATTCCAACTCGCTGGGGCTGAAATTTGATTCTGTTGCCAATTTCCAAAGTCCTTGAACTTTAGGTTCAATGAACTCCTTACTCTTGGGACCCTTGGCAGACAGACGATGAAGGCGATCATATCCATCCCTAATATCTTGGTGCTTGTCTCTAAAGAAAAAAATAAATTCAGTATATTTCCAATTTAGTAAATTAAATGTCAAAATATGACACTGACTATATTCAAGCACAAATGCATCTCATTTAATTACCTCAGTAAGTTTGCTTTATGATGATAATCCTGCTCAGTTTTTTCTTGTTCTTCAAGTACATTGAATTGATCTAATGTATTATCCAGAGAATCTAAAAAGAAGATAATAAAATGTTAGATATTAATTTACATTTTTATCACAAACTGGAACTGAAAGAATATGTTTGCATGATACAGTGTCCATTACCATAGGTACCTAAGCTCTAGCAGCACTTTACACTTTCAATAATTCAGGCTATATAGTGTCGAATGAGAGGATGACAGTGAATAATGAATTGGAAACGAAGTGGTTGCAGCCTAATTTAAGGTACTATCGTGGCACTTGGTGGAGGGACTTAGGAAAACGAAATGGATTAAAGTTACCGTCCATTCCAACTAGAGAATGTACTGCATTCAGCAAAGCCAGTGAATCACTCCTTGTTGGAGGGCACTGCAGTATTTTCATACCAAAGGGCACATAATTTGTTATGTTCTTAACAACTTGTAAACTTACTTTCATGTGTGTCTTTTGGCCCTTCCTCTACATCCTTCAGAAGAGAATAATACTGATCTATCTTATCTTGATGATGAATGAATTCTTCCTTCAGTGCCAGTAGTTCTTCAGCTGTAATTAACAAAATAACATTAAAAATCATCAGCTGGGGCCATATGGACTATATCATGTTACTGATTATAAAAAACTAGAATCAAAGACACCATTACCTGAACATCAGTACTTTAGCATGGTAACAAATAACGGACCAACTTTCTGGTAACGGGATCCAAACCTTCAGTAATACTATTTCCAAAGACTATATCACTGTGGGGTCCGCAGTGGCCGCGCGGTCTGAGGTGTGGGCCTTGTGCCGCTTGGTCATTGGGACCGTGGGTTCGAACCCCACTCAAGCCATGGATGTTTGTCTGTGTTTTTCTGTGTTGTGCTGTCCTGTGTACAGGCAGAGGCCTTGCGACGGGCCGATCCCTTGTCCAAGGAGTCCTACTGAATGTCTATTGATCAAGCCAACGAAAAGTTGGGACCCGCAGTGCTCAGGCACTTGAACGGGTTCCCAGTATATCACTGTACACAGCCCCAGGCCAGTTCAATGTGCCTCCTATCCTCAACCTGTTTCCCTAAGGTGTATCTTAGTATTACCCTCAAATTTTGATTTGTCTTCCAAAAGGTTTCCCTGCTAACAGTTATTTGGAGCATTTCTCAATGTGGCAAGTATTTAACAAAATGTGGAATAATAATATCTTACATTGTGTAGTGTGATTATATTTGTAACATATTTGTAGTGACATGAGCAAAATACTATAAAATGCATTTGTAAAATATGTGTACTCAACTCATCCCTAAATACTGTTCGGCACTTTGCAGCATATACGGATGACTGCATGACAAAGGCAGGATGTGAGAACACTAACCTGTGAATCCAGATCGTTCTGCTTTATCCCACAATTTATTGAGTTTCTTGTCCTTGAAAAGACTTTTATTAATATGTTCATCAGATGCATCATTAAAATCCTTATGTTGTTTGTACTTTTTTGCATCATTTACATCTTCAAAGTGTTCAAGGAGTCCATACGTGTTCATAATTCCTGCAGCAAAATGGAAGTTAACAATGTACATATGCTGTCATGTCCTTCACCAAGTTGGATGGTACTGCACTATTTTTTATTGTACTGAGGAATAAGTGTTCTTATTATTCTTTACAATATTAGAAGTCACCACACTGAAACTAACTTTGCATATTTCACCCTAAAAGCTTTAATAAAACTTTTCAGTCTTTTTTATATATGCAGTTAATTTGATCAAGTTACCACTTCAGTTCCTAGAATTCATCTGTCTGGTATATTCACTATCTAGTCTGTTATACTCATTTTATTAAAAACCATACTAATTAAAACATTTAAAATGTACAGTAACCGAGTTTGACAAATAACCCACATAAAGTGAAAATGCCATAGAAAGATGACGATAAGTTTGAAATAAATCCAACTTCTTCACATCTCATTTAAAATTATTTATAACAAAGATTTTAACATTTCCCCGACCCAGATGCTCAAAAGTGCTCTAATGTACATATACTGCCTTTCCTGATTTCTAAGCATCTGTATTTCCTTCCTGTCACCTAACTGCAGTTACTGAACAGTTAACTAATTTCTTGTTGCTTTGATAAATGACATGTGACATATTGGCCGGTTAGTTCTCCAGTTAGCTTCACATAATATTATGTAAAATAATTTTCATATTAAATAAAATGGTAAAATCTGGGGTTAGAAGTTATCTAAATAGGACATATTAAGGACGCTGTAGCAAAATACTATCACATGTATAACATGTAAAGTAATAATGTAAGTACAATTTGACAATGTCTGCTTACAAGGGATTAACTTGTGTCTGTCAGACAGGAACTGAAGCATTTCTGTGAAGCTTTTAAGCATTAAAAACTTAAAATTACTTGCTTGTCCCGCTGTAGATGATGTTTTGGAATTACACGTAAAATAACGTTAATTCTGAGCTACTACTGTTGCACTTACCACTTAACTTCTTGCGAATATCTGCTTCTTTCAGTCCTTCTTTGTCCAAACCCTCAGCCTTCAGTCTTTTCCATGTCACCTCTTCCTTATCCTGAATCTTTAATTCACTGAACAAGGATTTCAGTTTTGGTTCTGTGAGTCTCTATGATTGAAATTTATCACATTACTGACAAGCAGGCCTGTAAGTTACCACTACAGTTCCAAACTATGCATACACACACTCATTCTTTTGCAAATAAATGTAAACTGGTTCAACATTGTTGTGGTTAATAGGATTTGATAACAGATGTACTGAACCTTTAGGTCTTATTATAAAATATGCATACAAACAAACTGTTTACACCCTGTAGGACACTAATGCCAAATGCGTTTCGACCTCAAGAGGTTATCATCAGTGGCACAAAAAACAAGTTAATTCATATAATATAAATCAAAAGATAATGGTTTTAACAGAGCATATCACTGGCCAGTGAAGTGTTACTAAATATGGATTTGTAAAGAACTTACCTTCATGCTCTGTTAAAACCATGATCTTTTGATTTATATTTTAGATTTTATTGCCATTGAATTTGTATTACTACATATTTTTCTACTGAAATTATTCCATATTTATTAACAGTGCTTCATAAACTACACAAGAAATGCAATATTTAATGATTCAATTTGATTTCATTTAATTCTGTCATATGAAGTTATCATATGGGAAAAAGAAAAAAAAAGTAAGTGTATTCAATATTCAAAAACAAATCATTAGAAGAAAGACTGGTGATAAAAAAAACTGTCTCTTATAGAGAATTGATTGGGAAACTTAATATATTTCACCTTGTGAATGAATTCTTACTCTCATTACTGCTGTTCATTGTGGACAACATGGAGAAGTTTCAAAACAAATTTAACTTATGTAGTATAAACACAAGGCATAAACATAACTTCCATATGCTGAATGCTAATCAAATTAGTTATCAGAAACGTGCTTACTATGCAAGAATAAAGTTATTCAGTACTCTTTCATTAAACATAAAATGTTTAAATCATGATATGAAAGTTTTTGGTCAGAAATGGAATATTATCTTTCATCTCACTTCTTCTATGTAGAATTTACTTAAATTGAAAAGTCTTAAATACTGCAAATATTTATGTATGCAGCTTTAGCAATTATATATATTTCTGTTGGTTTTGTATTTATCATAAAATAGGTGTTTCCCTTGATGATGGAGGGGAGAAAGTTTCCGAAACGTTGAGCTTCTGTCCAGAACTGACAGTATTTTATCGAGTTCAGCTGCCGTGAAAGCTTGAAGTCGTATATTTTCATAAAAAACTAATAATTTCAGACGCATTTGTGATAATCCAATAACGGTAAGAAACCCCCAAATTCGCTGGCAAATTAGGTAACAATAAAGATGTGTGAAGTATGGTTTTCCTTTCCTTGTAGATGTTATTATGCCAAAAACTGTCGGAATTACAAGTCAGCAATTCCATTCCATATTTAACACGTCTTAACAGTAAACACAGCCTATGCATTGCTATCGTCTCTTACCAGTTGTGCCTTCGACCACAGAATGTTTAACTTCGACATTCGAAATGGTTTCTCCAAGTTTCTAAAATTGGATGGAGGTTCTTTTGTAATGTCTGGCTTTACATTTGCTTCTGCTGAATATTTATTCAATCCTTCTCCCAATCCAATTAGAAATACCATGAATATCAGAATACCTGTTACTCCGTACATCTTAACCTCACTCTTTTGTAAAAAGCAACTGAAACAAAAGTGTTCAATGTGGATAGAAGTTATTTAACAAGTTGTTTATGCATCAATAGCTCAGCCCATACATGTAAATCATGTAAGCCACGCCTCCAGGTCCCAACTACAGTACAATTACAATACGACTACAGATGCACAGTCCTAACCAGCACTGCAGCGTTGCCTAGTAAGGAATACTGGATCTGACAACTTAGAATCGGGAGTGACACCAAACAATAGAGCTTGATTTTCCGATGATGTCAGTCCAAGTCTATAAATACACCAATTTGCACCAGTTATGCCTACAAGCCAGGAACAGATTTCGCTCACATTTTCGGTGCCACAGCTTAACTGTCAACATCACCTACGAGTTATTTTCTTCGGGTTAGCTTCGGTTGGGGTAGAGAAAGTTAGGTTAGGGTAAGTTCATTTAGTGGATTTTGTTAGGTAAGGTAACGTTTTGAAAAAATATGTGACGTTTTGACACTTATGGCCAAAATTAGCCACGGCCTTACTGTACGTCACGCCTAGTTACGCTATGACACGCTTGGTCACGTTTTGTAAATATTCGTCAATTTCGACATTTCTGGCCACATCTCGTCACTCCGTTACACTATGACACGCTTTGTCACGCTTAGTCACACTTCAAATCGTCATCGTATTTTAACACTTATGGTGATATCTCGTCACACATTTATAGGTCACGTATAGTCACGCCTTGCCACGCTTGGTGACGTATGATCACGCTTTGTAAATCTCCGTCTCGTTTCGACACATAGCGATCCCTTGACCCTACGTCAAACTTAGTCACACTATGTCACGATTGGGCACGCGTGGTCACTAAGTAAAGTTTCAACACATATGAGTTATGTAACGTATGGCTCGGTTAATTTTTGGTACGTTGCAATCAGTTAGAAGAAGTTACGACAGGTTGGGTTACTTTAAGATAGTTTGCGTTAAGTTAGGTTAGGTTAAGTTGGATTAGGTTAGGTTTGGTTGGGGTAGGGAAGGTTAGGTTAAGTGTGTTTAGTGGATTTTGTAGGTAACGTAGCGTTTTGAAAATTTATGGGACGTTTTGACACTTATGGCCAAAATTATTCACGTCCTTACAGTACGACACGCCTAGTCACGCTATGTGACGCTTCCTCACGCTTGGTCAAGTTTTGTAAATATTCGTCAATTTCGACATTTCTGGCCACATCTCGTCACTCCGTTACAGTATGTCACCAGTAGTCACTCTTTGTCACGATTGAGCACGTTGGTTACGCTTAATCACACTTCAAACTGTCGTCGTATTTTAACACTTATGGTGACATCTTTTCACACATTTATAGGAGGTCTCGTATAGTCACGCTTTGACACGCTTGGTCACGTATGGTCAAGCTTTGAGAATCTTCGTGACATTTGGACACATATAGTGATCCTTTTCCCGACGTGAACGCATGTCAAACGTAGTCACCCGTTGTCACGCTTAGTCACGCTATTTAACGTTGGGGCACGCGTGGTCACTAAGTAAAGTTTAAACACTCTTATGTTATATTACGTACGGTTGGGTTAATCTTGGTACTTTGCAAAACGTTAGATGAAATTACGACAGGTTAGGTTAGGTTAGGATGGTTGGGTTAGGTTAGGTTAGGTTGGGTTAGGTTAGGTTAAGTTTGGTTGGGGTCGGGAAGGCTAGTTTAGGTTATGTTTGTTTAGTGGATGTTGCTGGGTAAGGTAACGTTTTGAAAACTTTTGTGACTTTGTACACTTATGGCCAAAGTTAGTCACGTATTACAGTACGTCACCCCTAGTCACGCTTTTTCACCCGCTGGGTCACGCTATGTAAATATATGTCAAGTTTCGACACTTCTGGCCACAGCTCGTCACGCCGTTAGAGTAGGTCTTTGTCACGCTTGAGCACGCTTGATCACGCTTAGACACTGTAACCGTCCGTATTCTTTGAGTTCAAGTCAATTGTTTCTCCTTTATTCTACATTCGATCCCCGTGAGTGATCCTGAGTACCCTAAGTTAGCCGAAGCAAAAACCGAAGAAAGTGGACGGTTAGAACACACTTTTCAAATATTCGTCGTATTTTAACACTCATGGTGACCTCTCGTCATGGATTCACGCTTTGTCACGCTTTTAAAATCTTGGTGATATTTTAACACATAAGGCGTCCTTTCGGCGCGCTTTCAAAGGAGGTCACGCCTGTCGCTAATATATTTAATATATATATCCCGGCGGTGCCCGAATTTATAACTTGTGTTGGGCAAGGCAACACGGAGTTTTCCTCCGGGGCTTCCCCGGTTTCTCCGTGGCATCCCAACAATTACTCCATACTCCATACACACAGAAGAAGGCAATGGCAAACCACTTCTGTATCACCTGCCTAAAAACATATATATGAACAGGTCCCAGTCTGAGAAAAGGATGGAAGATCCTGTTCATAATATGTCGCCAACCTCCTGTAAAGGAGACGGCGTAATAAAGAATAAGAATTGAAGATAATGGAGTGGACAACACATTTGTAGTGATGAATCGAGTAATATGTCAGGAGGCGATTTTGTGGGAGGAGTTGAAGAGTTGGGAGAGGACCGAAGAGTTGTGAAGAAAATAAAATTATCTAATACTCTCTGTAGTGTTATTTTTCTAGTGATGTGTAGTGTAGTGAAATCGACTTTCCTGTGTTACATACCATGGTGATATTTTATTTGGAGTTTACTGTACGCGGCCTGCTGTCACCCCTTCCAGCAAACTTCTGGTAAGTGACTCATACCGAGGTTCCAATTCTCAAAGTTCAGCGGCCTAAAACGCTGGAACGCAGTATACATGCTATTAAGCGTTACCGTTTTAACGGTTTTGTATGTTGTGTTTCGAGATTGGCGGAAGCGGATACAGGCAACTTTATGTTGCGTATTTGAGACTAACAAGGAATTTTTTAAGCAGTAATATGGTTCAGTACTGTGGTGGAACATTACTTAATCGAGTGGTAATTATTGATTTGTCATTGATCGAGTACAATAAAAGCATGTTCACAAGGACAGGGTATATGAATTATGCACCAAAATAATTTTCCTGCAATAAGGAAAGATGACAGGTATTTGTACACCGCTGTACACTCTTACAGACTTGTATGCTTGTGTTTGTACAAGTTTCTGAACAGATACCACAAGGGGACGGTTGTGGGTCGTACACTTTCGTTTGTTACGAAAGTAGACAACCATCAAAGTCAAGTGTTGTGTTCGCATTCGCAAACTTTAAAGTAGCCGATTTGGATGGATTGTATAAATGTAATATGCAAAATGTATGCGACGAACAAAATTAGTTACTGATTGGGATGTGAAGAAATTAAGCGTGTGTTCATACTCTTATCTGTGGTTTCGTTAATCGGGTTATAGGCATCTTGTTGAACATTCAATCGGAAACATGGCGGCTTACGCTTCGTGGTTTGTATTTGTGTCATTCTTAATGATGATTTGAGGTTGTTCATACATGACTTTAATCATGGCTAGGTGAGTATGCAGACATAATAAATCATGCTACGTATGGTGTGTTACATTGTAGTTCTCCATTATTATTTTGCATAGTTCAGGTACTCATGGGACAATTTAAACACCATTTTTGAAATTTTGTAAGCTGCAGTACGACTTCACGGAGATATATTTTTTATTTGATGCGACTCGATTTATATTATAAAGTTATTTATACAGAAGGGAAGGTAAGTTGTATTTCGAATGTTGGTGGATGTTGCATTGTTAGTAAACATCCAGCACTTATGGGGTGTTTAAAGTATACACAGTGTAAAACAAATAGCACGATTACTTCAACCAGATTGGCTATTGTTTCATGACCTAAAATAATGTCTGTTGTAACACTGTTTGAACTAGCCCTTTATGGAAACTACATGTTGAATTTTTGGTTGGGCAGTATAGACTAAATCATACACCTGTTCTGATGGTATAGAAAGAGGACAAAGTACAGAATGCTATCTTTGTCCCCTCTTAAATTAATCCATAAAATGGAATTAAACCTAAAATTAATGAGGATATTTCAAGGGTAGGGTAGCAAGCTGTTGTATTTGTTTACCCATCAGATATATCTGTAGTTGGAAGGTTAAATATGTGTGTTCGAAACAGCCATTCAAACAAGTTGCTCATGGCCTATTTTGAAAATGGTCTGAGGGAAACTATAGGACATCAGAATTGGGATAGTTGATGGATTCAGATCATATTTTGATATTTCCAATTTTTGTTATGTAATTTATACCATTATAAAGTTATGTTCCTCATGTTATATCTGTTATCTGCTTCCACTGTGCTTGTGCAGGATTCAAGATGTGTTGGTTATGTGATGATTTTTAAATGAAAGTAACACATAAATTTTAAAATATGTAACATGGATGCTATCTGTTTTGACAATCAGGATTTCTTGATACGAGTGAACACTGTGTGCAGATTATTGAATGCCACATAGAGTTTAATATTTTAAAAATCATTTCATTATTACCGGAATATTCCTTGGAATACTCTACAGTTGTTTCTCCATTAATGTGCCCTTAATTTACAGATTTTCAGTTTAAAACACTTTAAAGTATGTATTGTATATTTATGTTGATTTAGTTCAAACTTTGACATGATTATTCAGTCATTAACAGGCAGTGTGGCAGATGATGCTCTTGGAATTTATAGAAAGTGATGAATACAACACCCCGTAATATGTTAGCATAACATTTAACACAACTGTATGAACATTTTACATGATTAAAACCAAACAATTAGGGTATGATTTCATGCCACAGATGATGAAATTCTGGCCTGTAATGTGAGATGCCAGTATGTAGCTACTTGATCAATGGTATGGCCTTTACATGAGTGTATGTGTATAATTGTTCATTATCTGGAATTTTAATCGTCATACAGAAAATTTGCTGCTCAGTTACATGCTTTTCATGAATGCATAAATTGAGAAATTATTGCATTTCCTTCCATTGTGGTGACCAGTTGCTTTAGATCAGCTAGAATGTTTTGTGTAAATTGCTAGCAGTTAAAGTAAAATCCTAATTGTTTTATACATCTAAGGAATGAGGTAGATTAGAATGGTTTTGTTGGATTTGCTATTTGTAAGTAAATCCCTAATTCAGACTGTCATATATCCAGTCACTTTGTTGTAAAGCTTTTCCTTATGACTGTAACATTCTTCAAAATCATTCACAAGTTTTGCTGAAGTTTTGAAAGGAATTATCAACAGTTAGATAAAATAAATTCAGTGATTTCTTGGGTGGAGAACTGCCTTTGTCATTCATCATTTGAAAGCAAAAGTCAGTTGTCCAAGCAAGAAAATAATTGTTTGTATGCCAATATAAGTACATGAGAAATATTTCTTATGAGCCTTACTTCAGATTTTGCACTCATCTTGGCCAAATTTTTGTATTTTTCAGTATTTTATTAATATTACAGAATTCATCATCATACATAAAGTGGAAATTATGTTACAAGAAGAAGAAGATTACTGGAAATTACAGAATTAGCAGATGAATAGGAGGGAAATTGTTGCAATTTTGCTTTCTTGCTACATTGAAGACTGAGCAAATTAATCCAGAATTTTTATTTTGTTAATTTCTAGAGCAGGATTTATCACATTCCAGGTTTTGTTTTTCAGTGATGCCTTGCAATTACAGTGTGCCCTGGACTTGATTTTGAGGTGTATTTTTTGCTGTCTTTCTTTCATTATATGACTTGATTACTGAAGAAATTTAACATGTTCCTTTCTTTTGTGTTAATTAAAGACAGCTGATTAGGAATGCAGTTGACAAAGAACTGTAGTTCTAACTGATGGCAAGCAAAATGTCCCGTGGATATTCCAGAGTGTACAACCGCAAGTTGAATGCTGTCTCCCAGACAAGCATTCAGTTTGACAAACTATTCCATGAGAACAGCAATCGCCCCTCAGCAGCAAAGTCTGCTGGTACTGTGGGCAAGTGGGGTGTCATTTCGTGTACATCCCTGAGAAGTACAAATTTTAATGGTGAGTTTCAGTTGTTTCTGTATAATAAAGTTGAAACATTTTGCTTAGTACAACTTGACACAGGAAGGAAGAAAGAAGGTGTTTATTAGAATAAATTATATCATTAGTGTTAATGTTCCATGACTGTATTGCATATGTATTTTAGCATTTATCACATTTTTATGGTATGTTTGTTGTATGGATTAATCCTTTGCAGGTCGAAGAGATGAAGTTCTTAGCAACAAGAGAATGAGAATGGATTACAGCAATCGTAAAACCCCACTTCCCATCCCAGCAAAGGATCCATTTTCATTTGATACGGAATCTGATGGCTTGCAGAATAAATTATTAGCAGGAGGAGATACCTCTCCAGTGAAATCTGCACCTAAGCCCAAAAAATTTTTTAAAAGTCGAAACATTGACGTAATTCCTTCAGAGGAAATTAGATTGAATGCGTCTGTGTACATGGGAAGTAACCGCAGTACAGAGTCAAGTTATGGCTCACATGGGGGTAAAAAGTATGGGAAGGGAGGATACAGTACAAGGCTGCAGCAGTGTAACTCCTCGTCATCCAGCCAGTCAAGCAGTGGTGGGTCCAAGAAATTCTTCACATCTACAGCAATAAAGACCTCAGGTTCTGTTGCAAGTGCTGAGTCAGCTGGCGAACAGATAGAAGCAATGAATCTGTCAAGTCCTACCAAGGCCATAGCACCTCTAAGAGAAGAGAACAAACCTCCAATTGTGCTCAGGATATTCAAGGGCACTGCCCACCTTGTGAATGAAATCAAGGAACCATCAAGTGTTCATCAGCAGCCTGTGAAGCCATCAAGTGAGAATAATGTGCGAAATACAAGAAGAAGACACGCGGAGATTGGTGGGGAGTCTTGGTCAGTGTCAGCTCATGAAGGTAGTAAAGATAAATCATCGTACGTCAGTATTACTACATCACCAAAGAAGTCTAACAAGTTGGGGAAAGATTTGGTTGTAGTCCAAAGTCATAACACATCTGAGCCTGTGATAGTGGAAAAGATTGAATCACAAAGTAGTGACAATAACGAAGAGAAAGTGCATGTAGAAAAACAAGTTGTGAGGACTGAGGAAGTGACTAAACAGCATGAAATGTATGAAGGGATACAAACTATGCATGATGAAAAGGAGAACATTAGTAGTGAGGGAGTTATTGCCGAAGTTGAAATTCCCTCTTTGACGTACCCCACAGTGCTGAAGATTAAAAATGTAACAACAGTCATTCCCGAAGTTCCAGCAAACCAAGCCGCAGAGACAGAAGGTGTAACAATACCTGCTGAAGTACCTGTTTGTAATGATGTGAATAAAGATGATGAAGAAAAGTTGCTTAAAGCAGAGGAGCTTCTCTCCAGCACTTACGTTGATTTCAGTTCTGCTACTGAGAAGCTTTTGCTGACAGGACCAAAGGAGCCTTCCAAGGCAATACTCGATCATGATTGGTTCTCAGACAGTGAAGATAGCAACAGCATCGCAGATCAGATAAACACAATTGCAGCTTCTCAGGTAGAATGTGAGTCAGATTTGCAGGTAAAAGTTGTAGAGGAAAGTGTGGTTGAACAGGATAAGGGTGGGGAAATTGAATGTGTTGTAACTTCTCAGCCAGACGAAGGCCAGGGTCAACCAGAGTGTGAACACAGTAGTAGCAATAGTAGTAACACCAACACAACAGAAAGGACAAATTCACCTGCGACAAAGAAAGGGAGTATTTTTAAAAGTCGTTCTCTTCTGTCAGATGGTAGTAAAAAACGGTTGGCGCTATATAAACATAAGTGGGTTGATGACAAGGATGGTGCAGGAAGTGGTTCCCAACCAGGTACTAATAAATCAGTGTCATCATCTCAGCCTTCTGGAGGTACCAGCACTTATAGTGACATGGAGGAGGAATTTGAACCTACCAAACTCACCAGGGTTATAACATGGCCCACTGCTGGAGCAATTCATGATGATGATGTTGAGGCCATCACCAGCATCAGATGCAACAAGAAAGCCAAAGGAGTAAGCTTAAAATATCTGCATGGTTTGTTGTTAATTACAGTGAACACATTTTTTGAGATACCATGTTATTAATGGAATTCCTTGTTACAGTTTTACACAGTGGTTAGAAATGTGAAGAAGGCCCATCAAATTCAGGAATCTGGTGAATTCCAGGAATTCAATGATGATGTGGAATACCTTCTGGATGCACTTCAGGATAATAATCCCATAGGAACGAGGTATTATCATGCTCAGTAGAAACTAGGAATGCAACACTGGCTAAGGCTGGTGAAATGTGTGATTAATAATTTCTTGCTTTAACCCTTTTGCTGCACATTATTTTCTCACCACTTTACAGAAATATGTAATTTTAAGGTAAAAATGTGGAAGAATGTTTAATTTGTTTTTCCAAATGTAATATAACAACATTTCCTTACAACTTCAAATGCTTCAAACTAGGTGGCAGCACCAAGCTGACCAAAAATGTTTTTTATAGTGAATTAAGTCAAATGTCACAGCAAAAGAAGATTATTTCCTGATATGGTTTTAAGTTGAATGTCACTATGTAGTAATGGTTGCTTGTTTGACTTCAGTTGAATATTGCAGCAGTAGGGTTAAGTAAACCAAAAACTATTGATATTTCAATGACAGGAAGCATTACTTGCCTCTTTCCCAGTGCACATTTCTGAACCTAGGAAAGGATTCTATGTAATGAAATATAAGTCCCTGTTCTTGTTCTCAGCCACTTTGCTATTGGAAATGTTAACAGCAGTCATCTTTTCTTTGAATCTGTTTTTGCGGAACTCTCCTATTTGTTTGACATAGGTTAATCTTATGTAAAGTGTAAATAGGTTGGATATTTTATGTTTCCCTGAAGATTGTGCAAATGATACCAAATATGAAGATTTCTGTCTTCTGGGTTGTTGCGCTGTGTGGTCTGGTCGATGTTAACCAACGTTTCAGAGGTCATACTGCCTCCATCATCAGGGCGATGAGTTTGAAGATTTCTGTCTTCTGGGATGTTGCGCTGTGTAGTCTGGCCGATGTTAACCAACGTTTCAGAGGTCATACTGCCTCTGTCATCAGGGCGATGAATATGCCAATAGGGCTAGGTTTATAGGTGCCGGAATGTGAATGGAGTAGCCTGCCCCGAGCATATTGGCATATTCATCGCCCTGATGATGGAGGCAGTATGACCTCTGAAATGTTGGTTAACATGGACCAGACTACACAGCGCAACAACCCAGAAGACAGAAATCTTCATACTCACCGCTGTGAAAACTTCATATCTTATGATACCAAATACATTGCGTTAGCATATAGAATATTGTAATGTCTTAGTTATAATTGTAAATAGTATCAACAGTTTTATAACAGTGGTTAAAACAAGTTGATGAGTATATAATATTAATAATGATAGTATTTTGGTGCAATTAAATTGACCTTGAAAATTGATATTTCGTGCTTTGTCATTTTGTAGGTGCCTCTCAGCTATAACACTGGCTTCCAAGTGCATGGCTCCTGCCTTCAGGATGCATGTTAGGGCTCATGGAACAGTGGCCAAGTTCTTTCGTGCCTTACATGATGCCACAAAGGATCAGGTGAACAAACTTGAGTCACAGCCTTATCTAGAATAATTGCTCACTTAGTTGTTACATTTATTAGCTTTTACTGTAAGCATGTAGATACTGTTCTTCTCCCTGTCTTGTGGGTAAGAAGGAAATGAAAGTGTTACCAGTTTATAGTAACTGAAGTAACCGCCATGGTGGTCTAGCGGTTAGAACACTGGGCACTGGGCTTGTAATACTGGGGTTCTGGGTTCAATTCCCGGTGGTGCTCAGATTTATAACTTGTGTTGGACAAGGCTGTGGTCCAGGCATCACAGAGTTTTCCTCCGGGGTTTCCCAACAATTACTCAACTTTCATCTTTTCGCAAAAAGGGGGTCACAGCAGGAGTGTTAAATGTGGCTGTCCTGATCAAACCCAAGTACTGATGGGTCATGAATCCTGCTAACCACCAATGAACACCATGCTGAATGACGTATACTGGATACAAAAAAAGTAACAAGTAATTAAGGTTTTAAAAACTAAATTGAATTAAAGAAAATTAACCTGATGTGACCTGTCCTAACAACACTATCAGTGATGTTGTAGGTTGCCATTGGGTAAGTTTTGCAGTGTTGGCATTTAAGATTAATGCTTGGTTTTTTGCACAGTACATGTGGCATTGTGCTGTACCACAACTTTAATTCATACCTCATCAGGTACTGTTGAAGTTGTAATCATGCCCTATGTATGTATCCTATAATAATGTCTGTGGTGATCTTTATTAAGTTTTCATCCTTCCATATTTGTGAACTTGTGATTTATGGTTTTATTTATTTATGATTAAACTCTTGGTAAGACATTATCACAAATTTTCTTTGACAAGTTTCTTCTCAAACTTTGTGTTGATTCTGATCTGTCATGGTCTGCCTTGGTCATGTGCTTTGCTGTTCTGTTAGCAAATTCTTGTGAATTTTAATGTCATGGTGCTGTGCATTATGCAATTTTATCTGCAAAGGGATCTAAAATTTGAATGGAATGCAAACTGATTCCTGATTATCTGCAAAGGGATCTAAAATTTGAATAAAATGCAAACTGATAGCTCAGTAAATCAACTGACTACAGATTGGATTTATCAGGTTTTGATTCCTGACAGGTGCAGAGATTCTTCATGTCTTGAAGAGTGTTGAGATGGTCTATGCTTCCCATCCACTGGGTATCAGAAGTTATTCTTGGGTATATAGCAGCCCAAGTGTGAAGCTGACAATTTCCTATCCTATATTAAGGCAGGTGCAGAGATTCTTCATGTCTTGAAGAGTGTTGAGATGGTCTATGCTTCCCATCCACTGGGTATCAGAAGTTATTCTTGAGAATGCTTGAAGCTCTATTTCCTTGCACCATATATGCCTTTATGCTTAGGCCAAAGATAACTGGAGCTATCATTTAGTGATCTTGTGGTAAATTGTACAGTATCATGTTAATTTTCAGAGTCTTGGACTTTGCACAGCCACTGTCATGTTTGTGCTCAGTCAGGATCGATTGAACATAGACTTGGATCGACACAGTTTGGAGCTGATGCTGAACCTGCTTGAATCTGATGCGAGTCATCGAAATGCTTTAGATGACTGTGGCATGAGTAGTACACAACTTCATAAAAACAAACAGAAGGTGCGAGAATTGTGTGCTGAAATCCAAAGTCAGGGTCATGCGAAGCATCTGAACCTTGATAACATAACGGTAAGTGATTTATACAAAGTGACATGATTACGCACTGAGCAGGTTGGTATAGCCATAATGCTATAGGTTTGTGTTTACAATAGACCCAGTTTGAATCTTGGTTTGGACACTTTCTGTTCTGACTGAGGGTTTTTACGGTTTCTCTCACTCTTTTCAGATGAATGCTGGTGTAGTGTCTTCATATATGACATTTATCTGTTGCCTGTCCAAGTCCCAATTTACTTACAATCCATTAAAATCTTGCCATTATATTTGGTTCTATGTAATCTCTGCAGATGAAGTAGCATGATAAAATAACGTAGGAATAAATCTACAAATTTAGACTTGTATACTATGAAGCTGTCCCGGTGACTAACTTTAATATTAATAAAGTTTTGTTGGGCTATCAGTCATGTCAGTTGGTTAAAATAAAAGTTTCATGGATCAGCTCCATCCCCAACATAAGGATCAAATTTTTAAATGTTGATTTTTAACCAGTTTACATGTTTGGTAGCCTGAGAATATTTTATTAACATTTAGGCTTAACTAGATATTCATTAGACTGATGTTGAGGGAACTATAAGGACAGTGACAACAGAAAAATAGAATTAGGAATCTAAATAATATTGTCTGTAAAGGACAGAAAAAGGAATAGTTCTAATTCAGTGACTAATGCATTTAATGTAGTCCTTGAAGGGAAGACTGCATTAATTTATGGTTCATAATGTATCAGTTTTTTGCATACTGTAGTTATTATGTTTCAAGTTTTGGAATCCTCTTTAATTGCAGGTGGGGCAGCTAGCCATGGAGACTTTGCTGAGTCTTACTTCTCGACGGGCTGGGGAATGGTTTAAAGAAGAACTGAGAGAACTCGGGGGCCTTGAACATATTGTTAAAACAATATGTGATTGTTGTCGTCAAGTTGATGACCATATTATAGAGTGGACTGAGCCTTTGCTTGACAAGTTGAGGAAAGTTGACCGCTGTTTGCGTGTACTTGAAAATGTGAGTATACATGCAGTAGTGGAGCATATTAAGGGTTGTAAAACAAGTGTGGGATTCAGCCATTTGCACATAGCAAAATATGAGTGTCAGTGGTTTAACAGAAGCATTTAATCATAAATAACAAGAATCGGCAAGTTTAAATACGCATATTTTACTAAAAGAATATTGGTTAACTTTGACTTTCTAACTAATTCCATGGAGCAGAACTGTTTTCCTTGAGTAACTAATAGTTGTTCAGATAGTCAAGAAATTCCCTGCTTCTTACAGAGCCCAAAGGTTCATTTCTTTGTTTACAAGAATACACTTCTGATCCATGTTCTGAGCCAAGTGAATCCAGTGTACACACCTTTGGCTGAAGTATGGGAATAAGTTAATCCTCCCTCTACCAATTATTCCCATTCCCCATTCATATTTACCAGAAGTGTTCTATTTTTAAATTCCTTGTCGAGTACTTACCTGTTCAGAATTTGTGCCCGTTATGTAAATGCAGTCAGAACAATATTTTGTGTTTCTTTCAGTCACCATTTTTACTATATTTGCATGAACATCAGACATTTGATAGAAATTTGATATAGATCTTATTTGATAAATAGTTTTTAACAGTCTCCTCAAGTTTCATCTGTATTTTGGAATAAGTTTTGTTCATTTGGTTAAATTTGACCTTGGCTTTATCAGGTAAAGATAATAAAGATGTGTATTACAGTCTTCTTGGTAATATGAAATTTAAAGTTTCATTGCAGCATCAAAATTCCTAATTTCTTTTATATAGGTGACAAATCAAAATGAGGAAAATCAACTGTACCTTTTGAAGTACGGGGATGGCATGTTGATTGACACCTTGAACAAACTGTATCGACATTGTGACTCTGAGATTCCGTTGTACCCAGTGACAATTCTAGCAGATAAAGTGTCTGCTGGTGCTGTGATTCGTGAGGTTTTGCTTGCTACACTCAAAGTGCTGATCAATCTTACACACGACTTCAATAATGAATGTAAGTATAAAGTTTTGCATTATAATGAATGTCATCAAGGAAAATGTATGTGCTGATCGAAAACTCATGCTGCAGATATAAATATTGATATGATTATGGTGACCTGTGGTCATATCATCTATTTGTATGCATACATGATATATCATGCTTAGCATTGGCACTTTTCATGTCATGTTTCAGAAGATAATGGAAAGAAACATCACACCATAATGGAGACCCCATGACACACATGCACATACCATATCACTCGTTTTCATAATCAGTTTCCATCTAATGACATGGTTTGAACAGGAAGATATGTTTGTATTTTGGAGGTGCCTGGTTTGAGTCTTGGCATAGATACGGACTAAATATAGTGATTAAGACTGACTGGCATTTTTCGTGGATTTCCTGCCATCTAGATGAATGCCAGGATAGTATCTTGAAATTAGCCATGACTGCTTCCATTGAAGTCCTTTCAAGTTGAGCAAATACATCCTTTCATTTTATTCAGCACTAAATAACCACTGCTGTTGATAGAGCATCATCAAACCATCTGCGAGCCTTCTCTATGTTTTGCTGTTAACTTGAACTTGAATCATGAAATTAGAACTAAAATTGTAGCTGCATTTTCTCCTAAATTAAAGATAATTTAAAACTATAGCCCAGAAAAGACTTGACAGAAAGTGACAGTTTATGATACCATGTCTGGGATTTGCTAATCTCTGTTTTACAGCATTCTTGATCATTAATAGGCTAAAAGAAAGTAGTTGTATAAAGAATACTTGTGTAGCTGAGCAATCTTTGGTGCAAGCAAAAAATCCAAGCTGAAAGAAGTATAAATGTGAAAAAGCATTGAGTGGAGAGAGTTAAGTAACTTTATTATACATAATGTGATGTACGCTTTTGATTATTTCAGCCTATGGTAGCACTTTGGTTGGAGAAAGAACGGGCATTGTTGATGCTAGTCTTCATCTTTTGTTGCAAGTACCAAATTATGTCCCAGAAGAGAAGAAGTTTGACCTACTAGTTTTGGTAAGAAACATCACTTGTTTAATTTTGTTACTGAAAATATAATTCTTTGGTGTGCGTTGTGGGCTTGTGTTATGATGTATGTGGACTAGCATGTGATTTCTAGCAGTGAGAAGGAACCTGCAAGTCTGCATGGTGTCACACAAGACCACAGTCTGTTTTCATTGCCATTAAAATCTCAAGTCTCATTCAAAAGTGGTTTATCCCATTCACATCTTGTAACTCAAGTTGAAATGAACACATTTCTTGAGATATATTCAATGGTTCATTTCAGATTTTTTTTTGTGTTCCAGTGTCATAAAATGAAAGACTAAAGTGTACAAGAAATAATTTTACATGTTGATTTGCATGGGACTTTCCTCTTCGATTCGGAGTGAAGAATGTAAGATTAAGGGTGTCTGGGAACAATATTCTGAGCAAGATATTTGGGTATAGGAGAAATGAAGTGTTAGATGGCGAAGAATTACATCCCAACAAAGATTATGATGTGTTTTTCCATTATTTATGAATTTATTTATATGTATTTTACAGATTTATATGCCAGTTGTATTTGTATTACAGAAAGACGTTTTAGTCCTGTAGGAAAAATGGTGAATTTATTATGAGATAGCCATGAGCTGTGACATTGCTCACATGGTTAGTCACTTGCCTCTCATCTCATAGGCCCAGGTTTATGTCTGGGGTAGTCCATGTGGGATTCGTTGTAAACAGAGGCACTGGGACAGGTTGTTCTGTATTCTCTACAGTTTTCCCCTGACATGCTGCTCCATATCAACCACCTGGGGCCTGGGCAGTGGTTTTGTTAGCAGTTTCAGTTCCATAGAGACAGTTTTCCCCTTAATGACAGTAAAAACATTAATAAACAAGATTGTGAAATGTTTATCAGTACTATTGTCCTTTAATCACTACTTCTTCCCTATCTTGTTAAACAGAAGTATTCAACATTCCAGTTTATTAGTTATGCCACCATTAAAAATAAACACTGTCAAATTAAGGATTAACCTACTATCGACCTAAGCACTGGCACTGTTCATTATGTACATTTCAATATAGCATTTATTTTAATTCCTGTTCTAGTGGCAATATTATATATATATATATGATAAACAGAAATGACTACTTGTGTTATTGCTTTTCTGTTGTTTCTCTTTGTCATCTGTTACAAGGCATATCCGATTATTCTAAAAACATTTTAGCTGTTTATTTGGTTCATTTTATGAAGGTTAGATGAATTAAAATGTCTGTGTGAGTTTATCACATCAGTAACTGGCTGTTTTGTCCATTACAGGCGTTGATATTGTTGATAAATCTTGTAGAACACAGCAAAGCCAACAGAAGATTACTCCTTGAAGCCAAAGCACCATCAGATCCTGAAACCATATTTCTCCGTAAGTTCATGTCTCATTTATCTTTAATAATTGCATGTGGTGTTTATGAAAAATGCCAATGAAGTTTGACTACCAGGAAAACTAGGTAAAAGGTTTCATTGTTACATTTTAACTCGGTGGGTTGTGAACAGAAATCCGAATATTTAACAGACTGTATCATGTAATGTGTTTCAAAGTACCAGGTGCCACATAGGTCTGAAACTTGAGCTAGAATAGCTAAGACAGTAATGTGATAGGGTGACTGAAATTGTTTAGTGGCAGGAATTTTTATTTTTCTCTTCACTGCTATGTGTTGACTGACTTTGGGACCCACCCAGTGTTCTGCCAAATGAGTAATGTGAACATTTTCCCCAGGGTTGAAGAGGTTGCAGCACAAGTTAATCACTCACATCCATTTAGTGCACTGAGCTTTGCCTCCACCCACATACATCTTCATGGTGTGGTGCTTACATATTTTATTTCACTCATGTAGTACATAGTATGGGATGACTGGAGGTTGGGTGGGCAGAGTTGGCATAGTTTTAAAATCACACTGCATATTACTGAAAAATAAGTATTAGCTTTGAAATTGTATATGACGAAAAAGAAGCAACTTCCATCCCATTTTTAAATATATGTTCCATGTATTACACACACCCAATTTTAAGAACAAATAATTTTGAAAAAAAACTGCATGTTATACACGACAAAATAGGGTACTCAAGGGTAGCTTTCTTTCCATTTAACTTTCTACCTTTATATGTAATGAAAGTAGATAAATGGAAAGTGGATTAATTGGTTGCATGGTAGCCTGCTCCGTGTCCTAATAACTTTTTGAACCAGTAAGTGGATTTTCATGAATTTGGTATGAACATCTTGCCATTACTGACTACTGCAGTCCAGTAGGTTTACTTATTGCAGTTCCTTGTATACTTTCTATTTCCCCTGACCTCAGCAACATTTTCTGTGTGTCATATCTAATTGTCTCCTCCTTTCCTCCCTCCCTTCCTTCCTTCAAGTTTATAGTTTTATTGTGGGTAAGCAGTACATGCAACTCACAAAATTTAATTTTATAGGGTACTGATGATGGCATGTTACAATCGGGGAACACTGAATTCTTGGACTATGTCCATCATCTGTGTTTTTTATGTTTTGGAAGCTGGATCTGCTTCCATCCTAAAGTTAAAAGTGATTGAGGTTAGCTCTTTCTATCGGACCCAACTGAGTAGGTGCCCCTCCGCACTTTTTAACTTGAGGATGGAAGCAGTCCCAGCTTCTGAAACGTAGTGCTCTTTTTAAAAAACACAGATGATGGAAATCATCATCTGTGTTTGAATGTAGTGATCCAGATCACAAAATTTAGTTTGGGATTAGAAAAGAAACTTATATACAGTGACTCAAAGGTTTGGCATATAGGAAGCTCTTAAAATGTTACATACTATAAAAATACTGTGGTGGGATACTACTTTAAGATAAGCCACACTTGTTTCATTCTGCATTTTCCCAGTTAAAATGGTTCACAGTCATCTTACCATTTTATTTTATCTTCTGTATGTGATTGAAAAAGTGTTATTTGGTAATGAAGGAAACTATTGGACATAGAGATGATTCTGTTTGTGCATTGGAGATGTTGTAGAGACTGTTCATATAGAACTTTTTAATGTAATCAGTTTCTTTTCCTGTTGCAGAAGAAGACAAGACTGCTGTTGAAGCACTTATTTCCTTGTTTTATGAACAAGAGGAACTTGCCAGGGTGGAAGAAGTGAAAACAGATGCTATCCTTGATGGCAAGAAGGATACTGAAGTACCTGAAGCAGAGACGGCAGCACCGAAAAGTTACGAAGAATTCATAGAGGAAACGGTTGCTAAATGTAAGCATTTGTTTTTATATCTGAGAATGATCTGAAGTTCTTTGTGGTTGATATAAGTTCATTTCACTGCATTTAAAGTTTATGTTTTAGGTGAGGAGGTTAAACGTGAGGCACGTTCTGCTCTGTATTTGCACGTAGTTCACCTGTACTGGTTATGCGTGACTGTGAATACATTGATTCAAACAGCAACTATACTAAACTTTTAACTAATTTAACCTAGATTTTAATGATGGTATTTTAGATGTAATGGTTATATCAGCATCACTTGATTGTCAGGAACTTATTTGTAGCAGTGTTGTGTAGTTCAAAAAAATTAGTTTCATATTAAGGTTGAGGCTAACCAGTATGTCACACAAGTGTATACATAAATCCCCCAACAGTGTTGCAGAAAGCTGGGCGCAACATGGAACATACACTAATTGGAGCATATGTTGGGCTTCTGCTAGGATACCTGATTATGGATAATAAGGTAAGAGAATTGCATTGCCCTGTGTGTCACAGTTAAGTAATTATTTTTTTCACTTGTGGTTTAAATCTTGGTGACAAATCAGTTATAACGACTGAGGTTCTTCACAGTGTTCTCTGTCCATGCAAATGCTGAAATTGAGGTGTATATGGAAGGATTATATTAAGATGGACTGATCTGGCTCTGGATAGGGTTTGGTGGCAGGCTGTTGTTGAATACAGTAATGAAAAAGGCAGGAATTTCTTTAACTTATGAAGGAATCTGCTTGATGGAGTTGGTTACTTATAACATTTTACCACTTGTGTATAGTTGTGAAATATCACTTTATGGGACAGACATAAATTGCAAGTATTTGAAAGAAAGTGGACCTGAGAGAGGGAGGGAATATATTAGATGACAAAAGACTGATTTGTGCAACTAATACAATGGGCATGACATGTTTTAGGGGATGGGATAAAAAGTATAGATACAATTTTGTTGGGGAAATCTGTTGAAAATGGTCACTTGGAAGATTAAGGAGGAGATGGGAAGATAATATTTAAAACGCATTTTTGGAAAATAGGTTAAATATGTGACGTGAATTGGGTTGAAATGGCTTCAGTTCAACCTAATGTTGAGCTCTGGTATTAGCAGCGTTGATCATTCATGATGTGTTAACAGAAAATTAATTGGATTCTTGGTTGATAAGTTAATATTAGATTTCTGGATTCTGAGTTAGGAAAGGATAATGGAGTGTGTAATATTTTTATTCCCAAAATAAATATCTTAAGAGAAAGAGCTGTATAATTATTGTATTATAATAAGATTTTATAAATAATGAACAGAATGGATGTTAACTTCATAATGCTTTACAGTTGTTAACCTTATCACTCTGTGTGACAGGAATATGAACTCCAAGTACGACAGTATTTGCCAGAGAAGAACTTCAAACTTATGGTGTTGGTACTGCGAAAAGTGTACAACTTCATGAACCTTACAGCATCTGTAAGTTTTTCTTTAAGTTTGTTGTTTTAATCTAACTCAATTTCCTTCAGCTGTCTGGCTGTGTTCTGAGCATTGTTATGTTCTTAATGGTGACTGTTCTAGCCTTTCCATCTTCAGTTTTTCCACTTACATTTGAAAATTGGAAGCAGAAGCTGATAACAGTGGTAGTAGCAGTGGCTTTGAAGATACCATACTCCACTTCTTGCCACAAATGAATTTGTACAGACTGCGTTTCTTGACATAGTGTGCTACGAAGTGTAAATATGTACGTTTGTGTATGCAAGGCTCTGTATTATTCAGTTCTTACAAAAGTTGCGTTGGGTGTAGTGCCCTTTGTAAAAAAAATTTGGACTTCGTCCATTGTCTAGATTACAAATATAAGCACATTTCAGAAGCTGGATTCTGCTCCCATTTTCATGTAAAAAAGGAAAAGGACAGAACCACTATCTGTTGGGGCCCCCCGGTTTTGCTAACCACAGACCTGTTGCGATTTTATTCATAATTTAGGTGATGGATAATGTCCAAGATAACAGTTTTACAGATTACAATGTGCCATCATCAGAAATTCTCAGACACCATGTTGAAAACAGTTTCCATTGAAGAAAAGTATTTTTACAAGTAGTGCCCCTAAAAATGGACAAATTTGGTATAAGAAAACAAGTCAGTGGTAATTGTGAAAATAATATTAACCACAAACCCAGTAGAAGTAGGACCAAGCCAGGTAAGATTTCTAGTAATGGGTGTGCTCTTATTATAAATTATAGTTCTCTATTATTCTAATGTGTTGGAAAATAAAACCCCAAAAGGATGAGAACCACTGTACTAGACAGACATGCTCTGGCAACATGGACGTCATTATTGTGTCACAGCTCAGCTTAAAAGGGTTGTTAGATTGTGTCAGTAACACACTCTAAGATTTTGCTGTCTGTGGTTTTAGTGTCTTGCAACTCATACAATTATGGAGATTTATGTGCACCAAAACACATTGACCCTTTGAATTTGAAGCTTGTCTAAATTATATTTAAGGATTCAGTCAATACCATGTTTAAAGGAATAATCCTTTTTACAGCGAGAATCATATTAAATCCGTAAATAAATGAAGAGTTACTGATTATTAAGCATGTTGAAAATACAGTTAACATCGGGCTTTAAAGGGTTAATTTGCATTATCACTCTCTCCTCATTATTCTGGACAAACTGGCACGAGACAATCAGCTTGCAGGCCTCCACTTGCTTGGATAATTGGGAATGTACTGTAGATATTTTTTACTGATTTACTTTCTTTTTGCCATTTTCTGATGTGTCACTTGTTTTTAAGGCGGTGGGTAGCAGTCGTGGCATTGCACAGACAGAACGTGTTATCAACTACCTTGAGCAGTCCGATGTGCAAGCTACAGCCTCTGAAACAGCAGTTAATGCTGAAAGTGTGAATGTGAGCTTGGATCTAGAAACAGTCACAACCACACTGGTCAGTGACAGCATTTCCTAGTGGTTACATTCTTAACCATTTATCAGTGTTTGCTCACAAGGTCCTGTAAGGTACATGACTTCTTTTCTTCAGTTTTGGAGGAAGCGTTTAAGTAATGTCATGTTATTTATTAAGTACTGATGTGCTGTGATTTGAATGCGCAGTCTGGTGATTTAAATTTTTTGATGGGTACAGAAATACAGGTAATGATTTGATGACAGCCAAGCTTTGGTTTTTAAAGAAGACATCGTAAGCAGTGTGTATGGTGGTGATGGTATTTCCTGTGAAGGTTGGTGTTTGTGGACAGTTATGTTCGATGCAATATTTCAGGTTTGGAACAACTATTTATATGTAAATTGGTAAGTTCTGTCTGAACATTTTAATTTGGTGAGCACAATTTGACTAATTTTGTGTAGTTGTAAAAAACACATTATGCAGTCAGACAGGTGCAAATGACATTCTCAGGGCTTGAAAAATAGTGACATGTTTTCAGAGGCAGAGTTAAATTAGTAGCCTTAATGAAAAGATGGGTGTGAAGAAGGAGTAATTTATATTATGTTAGCTTCAAAACATTTCTCACATTTTCCCATGTGTTAACTGATAGATTGGGGTTCTGTTTTAAGGCAGAAGTTTTTGTATGTGAATAGTCTGGCACCCAAATTTTTCAAGCCCTGGATTTAACATATTAGAATTCACTAATTTGTCTATTTGTAAACATTGTGTCTTTATCTGATAAATTTACATGGAGTAAGTTACAAATTAATGTCAATTTATGGCAGTAACATTCTAAGAGAATTTACAGCAACTTTAAGTTACTTTTTTCAGTGTGAAATCTCACTACTACATACTTCTGGGAACCTTGACTTTTTCCAATTAATTCTTAGAATTGCGACATAAAAACTGATGAAGTGGGGGGGGGGTAGAAAAGTAATAGTCTATGCCTTTAGCTGTCAGTCATAACATTGGGGTGACAGCTTGCTTTATGCTGCCATTTCTGTTATTTGGCTGTAAGCAAGGCTTCTAAGGCATGAAATTCTTTCCATTGCACATAAAAAGAGAATAAATTTATTCCATGATAACATTGATGTGCAAAATGTACTCTTTAGATTCTTAAAATTTCCTGAGTAATGATGAAATTGGTGACACAGTAGAGTACTCCATACTGAAAGAATTTTTCAATTTAATTTTTTGTCAAGGATTAATTAATTGTATGTGTGTGTATGTGTTAATGTGAAGTATGCTGTAATGAGGTTTTACTGTAATGCACTGTAAAATATTTTTTCCGAGGAAGAACCAAAAATAGTGATGGTTGGAAGTGTAAAATTCTTTATTTTAGATCCTGATCATAAAACATATCTACTGTGATGCTTATAATGTTTTTATTTATATGCCATCATAAATACAGTTTCTCTCAAAGAGGATTAGTGCTAAACTAAATCTGAAGGTTTATGGCAATTATATATCATTAACTTTCTGGACATTATCTTGAATTTTCAAAAAGTTAAGTCTGAACAATTAAAATATATCCCATGCCATTTTGTGGAGGAGCATTAAACCTAAAACAACAAACTTTCTGGGTATTATCCATTGTTCATTGTTTATATTTTAATTGTTCAGACTTTATTGTAGACCAGTTTCCAAAATTGTTTTCTGCAGAACCCTGATGTCCTACATTGTAAGATGAGAGATTCTTCAAGAAAAGTTTCACGATGGTAGTTTCTCATGTTTGCCCCTCTGTAATACTGATAGGAACATTTTGTAACAAAAACATTCAGAGTTGTCTTATCTTAGATTGTGTGATTGGATTGTATGATAACTTTTGAGAAAAGCCAATTGAATTTATACTGTATTTGAATCAAGCATTTTCTCCAGATATCAACTTTTTTTCAACAGTTGATCGGTAGTGTACAGTTGTTTGTCTGCATGTAATTTTAGCTTCCATATAATAATATAAATATCTTATAAAGGACACATGGGAGATTGTGAGTACATTTACTTTGAAATTTTGCATACATGCATTACCTAGTGAATAATGAATATTATATTCATAACAAATGCACAAATTGTTCATCATAGTTAAGTACTGAATACATTATTCTAATATTTACTTGTTACAATATAACCTTGTCATACCATGCCTTATATAATGTATTTGGGTGTGCTGCTCTTACAATAATGTCCCATAAGACTTCTATGTTTTATTTCATAGCACTTAATCTGAAATATGTATACAGCTATTTATTCAGATGCTTGTCCTGCCACATTTTGTTCTGCTCTGTGATTTATAGGTGTGCAGGTTAAAGTCCATAGTCCTCTATGAGTGGGTACATTGTATTACTCTTGTACTGTAATGTTGTCTTGGAGTTCTTTTATCGAAGGGTGATATTGTGCACAGGAGCAAGTTTCACTTGAGACAGAGGAAGACGTAGAGTTAACATATATCTGTCATACTAATCCTTGTACCTACTCTGTGTCTGAGGAAACGGAAATCTCGCATAGGGTTCAACACATGCTAAATTAAGAAGGGATGTTGCAAGGATCATAGACTTTGTACTCATAGCTGACTCCTCATTAGTACACAATTAACAGGGACATGCCGAAAGAAAAAAAATTATACAGTCTGAGAAAAGTTGATTATCAGTGACCCATGTTTATGGACCAGTAACAGTTGGTGGTTTTGCCATTCACAGGGGTTTTCAAGAATGTTACCCCCACAAATGGTGAGGGTGTGCTGTATTACAAATTTTCTTTGGATTAGGTATCGCATGTCTCCATAGCTAAGCCATTCAAGCTCCATATGCATTTCATTCCTTAATCCTTTAGTATGGTATCACTTTCACTGCACATTATTATGCTTCACCGGCGAGCACCATCATATTAATTTGCCACCTACTGCATGCCCTATATAAGGCATCCACAACTCACTCCAATACACATTTGCAACTTCATTGTTTATTGAAACAACATTCGTTGCAGCTCACACTCAAAAGCCAAAGTTATATATTGAACTCATGCTGTGAAAACTTAGGGACAAAAAAATTACCTTATTTCATCACATTGTGCACCCAAAATTTTGCTGTGATATTAATAAAAATTAAATCTGTGTATATTTCTTATATCCTGTTTTTCAAAAATATTAATAAAAAATGAATTTTTTTCACCGAAATCTGAAAGGGATAGCAGCAAGTATAAAAACCACAATAAGTGGAAAATGTACTCAGTTCAGTTCAGTGAGAATAGCTGTCATTGTTGTATATCACATGAACTGTCATGTGACTTTGCAGTTATGCAACACACAAGAAATTTTACCATGCCAACACACCATGTGACATGAAAATTGAGGTAATAAATGCGTTATGGACACGACTCATAAAGCAGAAATTTTCACCCCTACATATCTTGTGGTATTAACATTAACTCACTGCTGTGAAAACATCAAATCCTACTTAGTTCACTATATGGAGAGATGAGAAGCATCCAAATTCAAGCACCTAAATGCAGTATGCTGACACATGCAAGATTAAAATTGTGCTAGGTTTCTTATTTTTGCCTTTCTTCTACTACAATAAAATTGTTTCATAATCAGTATGTAGGATTTGGTTTGGGGTTATAAAATATATTGATTATATCAAGTATGCAGTTGAAATTATGGCTGATTCCAAGAGCAGATTGCTTTTATCTTTAGCTAATCTTCCAATATTAATTTGCTGTCTCTTTTGAGAGTTACTGTTCTGAGTGAATTGAAGCTATCCTGGCAGACTGTTATGTACCAACATATGTACTGATTATGTGCATCACAGGTGTTGACAATGATTTGATAAATTTGCAACAAGGATGTATCCAGTACGTCATGAAATATAAATGCATTCAATTTATTTGGAAACATGCAATATGTTTTCATTATAAGTGACATAATGCACATTTTATAATGTCCAGTCCTGTGTGTTTTATTGTAAAAGCATATAATGTATAAAAAATGTGCAAGCACAAATTTAATTTTACTTGGTCATCAGATCTGCCATTGTGGCTGGACATAAGCTTTGTGCTGATTCCGAGTCAAGAATTGTCTGAAGGGACACACTTTCCCAGCCATTCATTAACACATTCATTGCAAGTCATTGCTCAGTGTATACATATTCAAACATTCGGTTCTAGAAGTTCTCCAGAGAAGTGAAATTCTTACAAAACAATTGTGCTGTTGATATCACACACTGGAGGTGTATTTTTAACCCAAAACAAAAAAACATATGCACAGCACTATGATCGGGTTTCATTAAATGACTCGGTGAATAATATTTTAATGCAAGAATGTGAAATGTTACACATGTTGAAAAAAGTATGTTCTTTAGTGACTTCCTTTATTTATGGTATTTAAATAAAGATACTTCCAAGGCACAAACCCATGCCAGTTACAGAGATGTGGTTCACATTTAACTCTTTCAAAGAAGAGCGATGATTATGTATTATCACCTGCTTTAATTTTCAGTAACTTGAAATTTCATTCACAGAATGTATTTATGATTTTAAGTTGATTATTAGTAAGAGACATAGTCTTGGTACTGCAGTCTGAAATGGCTCTGATGCACTTCATCATGGTGGTAGATGAGTATGTAGCACAGATGGAATGATGATTGATAGGGGAAAAATGAAGCACTCTGGGAAAAACCTGCCCTTAGCTTGAAGCTGGTGACTAAATTGCTGATTTATGGCACAGCCTTTTTAAACACCATTAACCAAAAATATCTGTAATGGAAATGTGGAATGTTCTCGTGAAGGCAGGAGTCGACTTTAAATTCTCAAGGTGTAAAGTCATCCCTGGTCGTGAGAACTCTTGACACAGACAGTTTGCTTCCATTTAATTTTGAAAGATGTATTGATATCTGCATATATGACGTATCAGTTTCTATAACTCTGCTTTTTGTTCACAGAGTGTATTATGGATTTTCTTCTCAGAATGAAGAGCAGTAATTCTCCAAATAACACAAATCATCTGATATTTGTATTGTATATTTACTCTGAGGAAAGAATTTACTTTAAAAATAGTTTTGCCCTTGTAAATGTTGAAACCCTATGGCATTGAATGTGTTGAATGACTTGGCTGCAGTTGTGTACATTTGTATTCTGTCAGTCCAAGTGTAAAGACCACATGAAAGTGTCAACATGTGAGTTCTTAGGACTGATAAATGCTTCTGAATGTACTTATTCTCATCAGATTTATATTTCTATTCAGAATGACTAAGTTATCTGCATATACATGTATCAATTTTTATCTAAAACACATTACCAGTAATATTGAAACACTTCTATAATTTAGCTGTTGAGGATAAGCATGCACACAAATTTCATTTTTCCACATTGGGTGCTAGGGTTAGAGGGCAGCCACAATGAAGAACCCTGAACATACAGTATTTTAATAATTGTGATGGATGAGGGGTTGAGGTATTAACACATTATGTATTGTCAGTACTTTTAGTAATTACAATTTTTTAAAAAAATTACATTGTGCTTGTTTAAAAACAACAGTACCTGACCATCTGGTCTCATTTTCTTCAGAAGAAATAATTTATTAATAGGGGAAGGTAATATAATTTATTTTTGTTGTATATCCACATTTATATTTTACAACACACCATCACTATATTATTGTACTGTACATAATCACAGAATTATAGCTGGTTTCCCAGGATTACTTTACTATGAAGAGCAATTGAGCTAAATCTTCTTGATTACGTAGGAATCTTATCTTTAAGCACCACTATACTTTTGCAACTTAGGGATATATGTAAATTGTATATGTTATTTCTTATGGAATTATTATTTAATATTACATGTCAAATGTTTATAAACATGAAGAGGACTGTTTAAAGGACTGCATTTCATTTAGAGTCATCTGGGTGCTAGAACATATTTTAAATATTGACATTCTATGCATGGAGACCTGGCTCTTGGTATCTGTCAAACCTATGCAAGAACCTGCTTCCTTCATTCTGCTACAAATTCAGTTTATGTAATTCTTCATATGGAATTGTTTACAGCATCCATGTAGGTATTATATCCTCAGAAATCAAGTTTCTTGAAACTCATTATATCGAAATATGTACATGACAAAATATTTCATTAACTCTTTGAAGCTGAAGCTCGTCTAAATTGTTCCTAAAAATTCAGTCTGTATTTGAAACACAACACAACACTCCATTGGAATGATCAGTTTGTTAAGGAAATAATGACTTTACTCTGAGAATCATGTGAAACCTATAAATACATTCCATTTGCAAAATTGAGAGCTAGTGATTATTACAACAGCTGGTGCCCCACTGTGCTTTAAAGGGTTAATGTCTAACATTTGTCTAAATTCAGGTGACAGTTCATTTAAGTGACTGAGGTGG